GTGAACAAGAGGAATCAGCTACTTTAGAAGATAGTTATACAATGAAATATTAATTATCGGGATTAGGCCAAGTATGCACTGCTATGAAAATGTTAATTTTTCGTATCGGAGGTTGCAGAAAAATGCAGTTATTTAATATGGTCGTCTTATCTGTATTCAGGGTTTTTTTGGGGGGGGGGGGTACATTTTTTTTGTTCTTTGTAAAAGTTCTGCTTCTGCTCCTGTTCCCTTGGGAAAATCCCTTGGTTTCCTGGAGTATTCAGACTAATAGCCAACTGTCTCTTGACTCTTTACAATTGGTGAAGAAAGCAAAAAGCAATTTTGAACTAGCTCCGGAAAATATGAAGCTTTGGAAAATTTCTTATCAAAGTCTATCAAAAATGTTATAAACTGTTTCGCATTGTCTGCATACTTTCTTGTGAAATTGGTAGACTTCTTCGAGCCCTTTGATAACTTCGTTACTCTTTAGGATGGTTTTGTATTCCTTCTGTGTACTTTAAGCATGTTCAGGTTAGATCATTGATCAAACCTTTTGGAGAAACAACAACTTTCAGTTTTTTCCACGGGTTATTTTATCAAACTTTCAGTAATAGCGTCCAAAGTTAATCCAACGCTCTCTTTTACTGAATAGTATTCATTGTTAATCTGACGCTATCCTTTCTGTAATACCATCCAGAATGATCCAATGTTCTTTTTTATGCAATACCATGCAAGATTAATCCAATGTTCTGTTTTGCGAAATGCCATCCAAGATTAATTCACTGCTATGTTTTACGCAATTTCATCAAGGATTAATCCAACCATCCAAGACTAATCCAATGCTCTATTTTACGCAATATAATCCAAGATTGCTACAATGCTTTCTTTGAAGAAGCACAGCGCAAATTGTTGGGTGTTCCAAATAATTTTGACGTTGATTGTAGTTTTTCTCGTAAAGTGCTGTAAGCACATATTTCTTTCTACCTAGCATACGAAGGTAAAACACTAAGATGCTATGCTTACCGAGCAGTGCCCTGGTCCTTCCTCTCGATGAGACCACACCTCGTGATTCCTACGCCTGGAATTGCAAAGAGCTGGCCACTCACCTGAAAGAGCTGGTGAAAGTTTGGTCAAGTCAGGTACTCAAACCCAAGACCCTTGGACTGAACCATCCTGGTAGCACATCTTCCGAGACAATATGATATATAATAACAAAAATCTCCTTCTTCCAAAAGCATATCTGAGACGAAACATCGCAAAAACATGAACTTCTATGCAAAAAGCCTGTTTAAATTACATCAATTGCATTTAAAGTTTCGTACAGTTTGAATGATCAGAGATTAATTTAAGATAACTGAGGCATATTTCTTTATATTCTATTGCAGTTATCATGTTTTCAACCTAGTTTTTATTCTAATACCCATAAAATTCCATCAATAGGTTTTCAAGGCAAGTTTTCTATACCCTTCGGCACAAAGGTGTACACTGAAAAATGAATACCTAACGACACAAAGGCAGTAGTAAAATAGGAGTAAAACAACACTCAGAAATATTTTGAGCCTTCCTCTAGCTATAAGCCCAAACTCTGGAAACCTTCTTCAGAAAGCCATATTGTGAGCAATTAGTTGTAAGGGTGTGATGGCTGATATCCGTCTGTTTTCAGTTAACCTCCTTACGACATCGATTGTACGTCAGGCCTTTCCAGAAATAGACCTTACAACAAAGGCACAGCGGCACAACGGGCAAACATTTTTTTAACATTGCAACGAGTGTCTAAAAAAATCTAAAGTAACGAATTGAACAAATAGAATTCTCACATCATAACTTTTGATTTGATTTAAAATGATTTTTACCAGATCTCTCTTTATACATTACAATAATTAAATGTTTAGTATTCTGAAAGCTCCTAAACTCATAAATTCGTCATTCTGAAGGGTATAGAACTGCAACACACAGAAACACGATTATTCCTTCATTCTGCGATTAGAATAATTCTGCGATAAAAATAACTGTATAATATCCATCAGAACACCTAGATTTTAAAAACATGCTGCAAAATCTGGTTTCTCGAAAGGAAATTATTATAAGAATTCAACAAAAATTCAAAAGAAGTGATGTACGTCCACCTGTCTCGTAGCATATTTATCATTTACGAAGACAGCAACTTCTACAAAAAACATACAGTTCACGTATGCAGGTTGACGCATCGCATGATTATTCACGAAAACTGACATTTTAATCAACTATGGGCCTGATTATGGCAGCGTACCGTACTAAAATTAGTACGGTTAGGGCAACACATGATTGTTTTGTTGACAACTTTTCTGCAGTTATCGACTAAACTTTTAACGATATGTATGCACAGGCAATACACCCTCAAAAATATAAGTACTAGTATTTTAGTTTCGAAACAAACTCGTATTAGAAAACAGCTGCTTTCCAGACAACAGAGACAAGCTGGAAAGGAACGACGGTATTTTTAAATGGTGGGTTGGTGTGATGCTCCAGTAGACGATTTATGGAAAAAGAACTTTAGACTCTCCAGAGCTGAATTTGATGAAATTTGCAGTGATTTGAGACCTTAAACATCTCCAAATAGACTCCCACCGAATCACAGAGCAGGGTCTCCGACGAAGGGGGAGGCCCTACTCTGTTTCTTCGAACCCCCACTTACCAATCTGTGTCGGAGCCCATCCAGAGCATTAGCAGTAGAAATAAAGGCTGCTGCTAAACTGTATTTTCTTAAAGATACAGGTTCAATTATTTTGACAGTTAATACATTTGGGATTCAACAATGTACCCTAACCAAAGTTGTAAAGGAAGTGTGCAGTGCCAATGCTACTTAGGTGGCTCCTAAAGCTTATCAAATTAGCTTCAACTGGGGTCAACTCGCCCATGTAATCAGGCTTTGTGTATCTCAGACACTTTCTAGCGGTCCAAGTGCCTGGCAGAGTGTTATTTTCTTCAAAATTTCTTGTGACGGTAAACTTTTTGAAAAAATTTCCTGTGAAAACAGTTTGGATTTTGTGATTCAAAAACCTCAATAATGCGATAAAATTATGTCGTTGAAGACAAAAGGAGTCACATGAGTAAAAAATAAACGTACCTATTTTATCAGAAATGTTTTTGCCATATTTATAATCAGAACTGCAAAGAGGTTTCGGAGTTCCTAGGACAAAGCCGAAGGTCAAGGCCCCCAGTGAGAGGAGGGAACAGAAAATATTTGTAACCAAACCCTAAAGATTAGCTTAGAATGCATTTTAGAATATTTCTTGCAGTCATTTCTTGCAAATTTTTTAACATCCTACGTTCTTAAGCATACTTTTGTTACAATTGATTAATTCCATTCCTAACATCGTGCAATGAACCCTGAGGTCCCCTGGGGCATTTTGCCCCTCATCCCCCCTTTTATCAGCCCCACTTGTAGTGGATGCTATTGTCAAAACTTTTTTAAAGGGTTGGCAAGGAAATGTGGAACATTGCCTTTCGTGCATCAATGAGCGAGCACTAAAATGGCAATTCCTGCATCTTGATAAATGAAGCAATTTTATGCAAGACTCATACCAAAAACTGTAACTCTGTACAAAGGAGATTTATCTGTAGTGTTGTGAGTGAGTTACAAGCAGGAAATTCTTGCAAAAATACACCTGTGATACGGGATGCTGGTTCTTTCTTTAAAGTCTGCAGTTAAAAAATATCTCAAACATTAATAACGGTATGGGGTCGTAATGACATATCAGTAATGACATAATTTGTTACTTTTTGCAGCGAAAGCTGATCCCCTTAAGCTCCCTCAGCACAGTATTACTTTTTGAAACATATTTTTGATCTTTTCAGTGTAATGAATTTATTAATTCTGAGCATTTAGATTCCTTCCAACCTGCTCAACTTCTTGTAAATAAAAGTGTATAAAACTTTTCTATTATTCATCCATGATTGAGAAATTTCCTGTGAGAAAAATTTCTAACTGATTTCCAGTGACCAATGGTCACACGGTCACGGGGAAAATAACGCCTTGGTGCCTGGAATGATCACCACAGGCTGGCACTACCACTACATTATTTTTCTATCTCTGATGACAACAACTTCTTTATAAGAAACAATAAAAAGGTTTTGCTGCAAGGCGACTGCTCCGAAAGGCTCACTCTATTTATTGTCTTGAACAAAGAGGAGTCCTTGGACAAATTTGAAAACTTTTACCCTAATTAATATCCTGTTATAAGAAGAGTTTCACGATTCAAGAGATTCACCAAGGATGCGCTTCTAGAAGTAATCGCACCAGAGAGGTTCATTTGATAAAATCTTAAACTGGAAAAGTCAACTTTCTAGTTTTTCCTCTTTTTTATTTGTAAGAAACTTGTTTATAAGAAACTAGTACAAGGACTGCCAAAAATTTAAGAAACTCTAGTCTTAGGCTCAAGAAAATAAGAAATTGTAATATTCCATTTCTGAACAAAGAGTCTCAATTTCTTGTTGATTTTTTTCTATGGAAAAGATAGCACACTTTGGATTTTGATCTGTCTAAGTTTTTTGTGACGATCTGCGTTTATGTTTTTCTGACGATGCACAATTTCAAAACAACAAGGCGATTTTAGATCTCGAAAAAAGGAAACTAATTAAGAAACTTTTGGTACTAAAACAATAAAATTTGGATGTCAAATTAAGAAACTTTCACTATTTAGTGCCGATCCAAGTTTCTCAAAAAATAAAGCACGTGAATTTATCATAGACGGAAACGTTGATTTTCCTTAAAATTTGCTCTGGATTAGAAAGCTGCCTGCGAGGGGCGACTGAGTCCAAGGACCGTGGAGCATTTACGGATTGAAGGGGCAAAAATTTTGGGGAAGAGGGGCTAAAAATTCTGAAAGGTCGCGTTTAAGGTGATTTTCGCTTAGTTTGATGCAAGTTTGGAAAATGTAAGGGGGGAGAGACCCATCATCCTGGCCCCTGAACTGTTTGGCCTTGATCCGTACCCTTTTGGTCTTCCATTGTTGGTGGTTACGCAACTAGACCTCGTTTTCATCAGGCTCAAAGGTACAAAGATTTACAAAGATGGGTACGACTGTCAACGGAATGGCTGTTGAAATCTCTGCTCTTTTTATTAGCGTTTTTCTGTTAGCAGTAAATGGTCAGCAAAGAGAAGAACCAGCTGGTTACATGAGACGCGAGTATTCTTTGCTGAAACCGTTTGATGGTAAGGCTTTCACCTACCGTTTGGCTAAGTTTGGCAATCTAGGCCCATGTGTTAAATAAATTTGTTTGATTTTCACAGACACGGGATAGTTGAATAGGCACGAAACCCATTGTGTTTAAAAAGCGTTATAGTCATGAGATGCATTTAAAGCGCACATAGATATAGGTACTTAAAGGCACATGTATCAAGTAAACGTATTCAAAAAAATTCTTTGATCGTCCTGCAAGAACCTGTTGTTACACTTAGCCTATATACCAGAAAATTGTCATCTTGAATGCTCTTTTTAAAGCCAGAACGGGTTTTTGGCAACAGAATTTATAAATATAAATGTAGTGCTCGCTTAGAATCTTGATCTTCAGCTTCTATATGTCACCTGCACAGTATCACCAGTGAAACTGGAATGCCATACTCAATGTATTATGCCAAATTTCTTGCATACATCTCTTTGTTGTTGTTGCTTACACCCATTTAGTTTGCCAGGTCTATATTGCATAGCCCCAGAATTCTGGTCTAGTGTATCTGTATTTGAGAATAGTGCACTTTCAATAGTGATCTCCATGTACAGGGGCCAAATGCAAAGTTTTTTTCTGCACGGGGAATGCCAGAACAATAATTCTGAAATTTGCGGATAGCAAATGTTTCCCGCAAAATCTTGCATGGAATCTGAAGCAAAAGCTTTCAAAGAGACCTTATTTTCTTTGGTTTTTTACTGTTATCAGAAGTCAGAAGTTTAAATGGTGGAATATTCACAGGGAGCAAGACCAGATAAACAAATATTGTGTACAGAATCTACGGGAGATTCTTTATAATATGTAGGCAGAATGAAGGATAAAATTATTGCTTGGGGACCAAACTTTTCAGTCTGGTAGAGGGGGTATTTCAGACCAATGGGAGGGACAATGTATCAGTTCCCCTATGTGAGACAAGCAAAGTGTAATCAAGAATAATGTTTCAAAAACTCTATAAGCATTATATCCATAGGCTTTTTGCCATTAACAATCTTTAAGGTGTATTTATCTAAATATTAAAATTGACATCTAAAGATGGTGTGTTGGTTTGCATACAGTCTCTGTAAGGATTCTAGTGTTCAAATTGTGAAGATTTCCGTGTGTGAATTCATACATGCAAGAAATTTATCATATCTAGACGATTTTTGAATTTTCTTGTATCTATAGGCTTGGTATGAAGTCTAGTTAGACCTTTGATTTTTAATTATGTGAAAGACCATAGATAAACTTTTAAGGCATTCCCATTTGCTAAATTAAAATGCTTGGACTTGCTGATTGGATGTCAATTTGAGGCAAACTTGAGCAATTGTTTTAATCTTTCACATTAGAAAAAGCTTCAAATTTTGATATTGAAATCAAAGAGGAAAGTCTGACTGCATGATATTCCAAAAAACAACAAAAGCTGAGTTTTTTTATATGCTCTGTTGCAACTTACAGAGTTGCAGATAGTTTTTTGTTTCTTTGAATGAATACTGAGAGCCAGGTGTTTTTTGTTCATGTGCTTGCTGGTTTATCTTCTTGACAGTTCTTAGGGGGCTTCAGGCATGCTGGAGCCAGGGGGATCTGGGGCTGGGGCTGTAGCCCCCTCACTTTTTTACCCCTGTATGATATGAAGGCTGTGGCATCAAATGATAATAGTGTAGAGACTACCATAAAAATAAGCCAATTTGTGTAGAGCCCCTTCCCCACCCAAAAGTGTGATTTTGCTTCCTTGCTCTTGTGTACCTCAAAAAACCACAAAATTTCTTTGTGTTAATTTAGCAAGCCCCTTTTGTTCCTATGTTCACAAACAATAGTGCTCCTGCAATTATTCTGTTCTTCCTACGGTCAGTGCTGGATATTTGTAGCGCATTTACTGTTAGGACTTCTCTTGTAAAAGATCTTATAGAGCAGGCTGCTCTTAAAGACTCTTTACTAACAATGAGTCATTGCGCTACGCAAGCATCCCATAATGCATTTTCAGACAGTCTGAAATCAATTTTGGTTAATTCATAGAAGTTTACTTCCATTGTTTGGACTGTCGCTACACTCGCAAAGGCCCATTGTTAGCAATGATTCTTGTTTTAAATCAAAGATGAAGTAAAAGAAATGAATTTTGGAAACAATAGCAGACAGTAAAAAATACCCCTGATTACATTTTGATTTTCTTAAAAGCCACTACCAAGTGCAGTAATATGGCTCAAACCTATGAAATAACATCCCAATTTATGTTAGAATTGCCTCATCTATCTCTATTTCCAAATCTGAATTGAAAAATTTTTGGATTAATGCTCCTTTACCTAAAATGTGACTTGTGTCTTCTGCATTTACATTTATATTTTGGTTCATCTTGTTTGCTTTTTTAAAAGTTCATTTATAGAATCTTTTATGGAGGGAAGGGGGGGGGGGAGAGCCTGTCCTCTCCAGATAAAAGTGTCTAATTTAGAATTCCCCTTTTTTGTATATTATTAATTGTCATCTAGTATCTAGAGAACTGAATTCTTGGACTTACGTGATAATTTATTGAGGGTTGTTAAGTGAAAAACTGGAAAACTGAAATTAAAAAGTACCTGACATCTAAGATATTTTTTTGTCCTTTAAAATTACAGCTTCAATAGGTAATTTGTTATATGACAAACCCATGCTAGAATTGTATGAGTTCTAGAGATACTGGCAGGTGGATGTTCAGGGTTTTATTCTTATGCACTTTTGGTCAGAAGGTATCTGAAAATGTATTTTAAATCAAATGCTTCCAAATTAATATAGTATTGTTCATTCTAGGTACCGGCACTTTGCACCATTGGGAAATTCTAGGAAGTGCAATAGCTACAAATGATTATATACGATTAACCCCTGATCATCAAAGCAAACAAGGTGCAGTTTGGAATTTAATGGTAAGTTTCTGAAACACTGAAATTGTTTTGTCTGTTGTAAGTAAAAAAAATTTCATGAGGTAAATATTTGAAATATTTCAGTTTTTCAGATGGTGCTTATGAACTATTCATAGATGAACTTTGAATCAATGCTGTAAAACAGTGCAAAAGAAGACAGTAAAAAGCTTTTCAGGGCCAAGCTGGCAAATTTCACATGAAAATGAAAAGCTTGTTGAAAAATAATTCTTCAATCACAGTGAGGCTACCTCAAGAGACCACTAATTTTTTTTCCTTCCCAGGAAAACAAAAGTCTTACTAAAATCTTTGTGTGAAAAAATCAAGAAACACATTTGTCCTGCCTTATGGCAAATTGTTTTAAGCCAGTTACAAGATTCCTATCCTAGAAAACTTGAAGGAAGATTGCTTGGTCTAATACACCATTTATATATTTTTACAATGCCTGGACAGACTGAATTTCCATAAATGTTCCCTGCAACTTAAATCTCCAAAATTTACTAGGAAAGCTTCTCCCATGTTTCCATACTTCTTAAAAAGTTTCTTTGAATGGTGATGGGTTTATATCACTTTTTTGAGTTGGGATTAGTTTTTGCCTTAGAAAAGATTCAAACCCAAAATTTAATTTTTATATCATTTATCATAAATATAAAATGCTATGATATCATGAGTTTTACATTGTTTTTTACAATGTTCAAAGTTCATTTGTGGTCATTGGTTTTGTGTCAGTGAGCACACACCAAATAATTTTTTAAAAATTTAATGGAGCTTATGTTTTTTAATTTTTCTTAAAGTGGAGAATTCTGTTCATAAAATGGAATTTTCCTTATATCTAATTTCCCTTGAATTATATGTGTAAAAATTTCCGTTATTATTTTAATTCTAAGGCTTGTTTTCGTTGTTGAATGTAGTAAGGTTATGGTTCTAAGTTTCCACATCAGGTTTCATTCCCAATACCATCACTAGGCAACTTTTAGCTTATTCATATATGCTGTAAATCCTCAAACCAGCCTGGTGGCAACTTGTTGATGACTTTATAAGTCCCTCCTCGAATAAGTCCCCATTTAAAAACTGTCTGAATTTATAAGTCCCTATAAGGATAATTTGATGATTTATGGTAATTAATCCTTTTTTAGCTGCATTTTTTCATGACTTGGTGCTTTGCACATGAAAACTGTTCACAGTACAGAAATATATCTTTTGTTTTAATTCTTTTAATTTTTAGCCCCTATTTGTAAGAAACTGGGAAATTCATATCAAGTTTAAAGTCCATGGGCAAGGCACAAGGTTGTTTGGTGATGGCTTTGCTTTCTGGTATGCAAGAGACAAAGCAATTTTAGGTATGGTGTATATGCCCTTTCCTAAAGTGGTTAATGTTTGTGTTGAAATTGCTTGCTCATAAATGGTTCCTGCTGTCCTGAGCATTCTAGACAAGTGATAGCTCATACCAGGGATGCTATACTAAAATTAAGAAAAGGGGCTGTGCTATAGGGAACTTCTAGAAGATACATCCAAGACCACACCCATGGTCACACCCTTTATGCTTCCATTTATGTTCAAGTTTCTCTGATAGTGTTATTAAATCATTCAAACTATCCACCAACTCAAAAAGAATGATAGAAAGTTGCTCATTCATGGAAAATCAGTAGCAAGATAAAGGGTTAGTTTCCTTTGCCAAATAACAAATTTGACAGACCAAACATATAAGCCCCCCCCTGTGTCCCCTGAGCCCCCCTCAATGACACTACTTGCTTCATTGACAATAGACCAGGTTTATTGCCTGGCAGGTTTCAACAACTGATGACTTTGAAATGCCACTCGGTTGACTTATCTGCTTTTTCTTTGGCTTTTAGTCCATTTTAAGTATATTATGATGTGTTTTCCCTAAAGCTCAACCCAAAATTGAGACAGGCAATTCATAGCTTGTCTTACAAATTGTAAAGGACAAGCTTTTTTCAGACAATCTGACATCTGATTAGTTTTAAGGAAACAACCTTCAAGAAGGTCTGAAATCTCTGGCCTTACAACAACAATTAGAAGTAGTGGAGTTGTGATTTCTCTGAGAGAAGTAAAAGATTTTATGTAAGCCACATGAGTAATTATGTTGCTATAGAGATGCAGGACCACTTACATTGCCCACACCACGAATTTGAAAGGAGGGCAAGGCCAGGAAAAGTAAAGGGGCCAAGGCTTCTTACCCCTTCTACTGCAGCTTTAAAACTACTCGCTTCGCAAAAAGTGCAGGGCCATGATGTTATTGGTGATGTTATTGATGTATATCTCGTTGTAAATTACTATTGGATGCAGAAAAGAATGCAGAAAAGCTAGACTATGCAAAATTGTTTCAAATAGGGATGGCAACAGCCCCTAATTGCACTTAACAGTTAATGAAGTGAAAAGCATTTTTGGGATTCCAACATCGGTATTTGAAACCCTTCGATGAAAATGATAAAAATTCCTCTCACTTATGCTTGTTTCCAGCTGTGAATGAAATAAATTTTCAGTTTTCAGAAATTTCAAGGAATTTGATTTATTTTTCAGGAGATATTTTTGGATCCAAGGACAAATTCTCTGGCCTTGGAATCTTTTTTGACACATATAGCAATCATAATGATGCACACACAGTAAGATTTATGAAATATACGATTGTAGTTTTAATTTGTTGATGTTTCTATCAAAATGTAGAAATGAGATTAGAAGGTTGAATGTGAGAAATTTCTGTAGAACTGCTGAAGGAAAGATAAAAACCACTTATAACTACAACACCTGCCAAAAGTACTTGGAACATCCAACAATTTGTGTTGCATTTGATATCTTTCATTTCTTTCCCGAAAAAAAATTATGATAATTTTGATAATTTTAAAATGTTGATTATTTGGAGAAATATCATAAAAGAAGCACAAAAGAAAGTGCTTCCTAAAATCCTAACCCGTTTGATAGTAAACCAACATTGTTCTGTAGGGGAGAGGGGGATGATTGGTTTTGACCTTGGAAATTGATGTCAGTGTTCCGAGACTTTTGGCATGCATTGTATTTTTCATGTTTTTATTAGGGAATCACTCATATGCCACTCATTGTACACTGAAGTGATGATTACGTTTAACTGCTGATTTAATACAGCTGACTCTTTGATTTAGAATGATGGACATGATTATATTGGATGTCTTCTTTTACAGCATTTCTTACATGTTGGCAAATTGTAAATAAATAGTTAGTTCTATTATATAGTGTTCAATTGCTTTGTGTAATGAGGATATTTTTTAACTATTTTTCTATACTTTCTAGCATTTAATCGATTTGATTTTTTGGTCATTTATAGATTAAAACTTATCTATAGATGATTGACAAATGATTGTAAATTTTTTTTAAGTATCGTCCCTTTGTTATTATGGCATATTTCTTCAAAACTGCTTTTTTTATAATAATTTTTTTACTTTAAAGCATGACCATCCCTATATATCTGCACAAGTCAATAATGGAACTTTGAGCTATGATCATGATAGCGATGGAACTCACAGTGAAGTAGCTGGATGCACTGTAAGTTATTCTGTTCATTCATATGTTCATTAACATATCTCATGATTTGCCAACATTGCGAGTACCGTAAGTCCACGAATTGGCCCCCCACTCCCCACGAAAAAGCCCATTCTCGAATAAGCCCCCACTCTAGAACTACAAATTGTCAATATGCTCCCCTCGAATAAGCTCCCACTGCTACCGTATATTCTCGAATTGGACCTTTCAATGTGACGGTTTTTGCCATCTGAGGTTGCCTATTATATTTTATTGAATTACCACGACACATTCGTACTTTTCGTAGTAATTAATTAACTGCTTATAAAGAAATTCCAACAAAAATAAACAAGGTCTTTTAATAATGTTTTCTTATTGTCTACAATAATTGTATATGCCCCCTCTCGTATAAGCCCCTCTCCCTCGAATAAGCCCCCGTCCAAAAATATCAAGAATGAATACGCCCCCAGGGGTCTAATTCGAGGATTTACGGTATTTTACGTGATGCTGCATAGCCAGTGTTGTTAACCCTGGGCTTAAAAAGGTTTTAGGCTGCAGTAGTCTGCACCAAGCTTGCAATTTTTTAAAAGCTGAGACCTTAGGCTGTCTTTCCTTTTTTATGTCAGACCAAAAGATCATTGAAAACTAGGTCATACACATTCTCTGAAAAAATATTTCATTTCACACGTCAATTTAAAATGTTTCTTTTCATTAATGTTTTACAAAACGTTTATATAAATACAATGTTATCTTGTTGTTCTTCTCGCCAAGTTAGTTTATTTTTGTAAACTTTTCACCTGATCACCCAAACTTTTTTAAAGGTATAACAAACAAGGTTGCAATATTATCTCGTAAATATTTTGCCCAATTATATCTACGCCGAAATAGCATTCAGAAAGCTGTCTGACATCGGAATTGCAACGTGGCATATCGATTGTGGTCAGTTCAGCGTGTGGCAAATAATTTTTTTGCCTGCAACCTCCTGAAAGAATAACCTTTATAACGTTCCACAGATATCACCTTACAAATCAGTTAGTGTGGTACAGCCATCTCAAACCGAATTCTAAAGACCACTTTGAAACATTCTGTACTTTACTTGAAAAACAGTCTATGAACTTTGTTGTGACTATAATGCTTTTGTAGGAACAACGTCGTGTTGTACACGTCATGGAGTTTTTTGACTGTATTAACGAATCACAGGTCGCCTAGGGTCAGGGAATGCTCTCCTTCCAATATGACATCCAGTGAAATATGAAAACTATCCGGATTCTTCATGTCTGCATTGTATTTTTTTATATTTCGCATCGGAATTCTCGATTGACTAATTTGCCACCTAAAGTAGACAATGTCAAAGTATGGATCTACGCTTAATTCATTACATAGACTGGCAGAGAATAATAAAGCTGACATTTTAACTTTTTCTAGTTTGTATTTGTGAAAATATTGACTTTTCCCGTTGTGCTTAGTCTTATTCTTGTTTTTAGTCATATTTTCGTGCAAGTGAAAGTGATACTTTTGTTGCCATACGCTATCTTGGATCAGAAAAAAGACTAACAGTAAGTGACTTGTATTGATTAACATTTTCCTAGCCAAGAACGTATTTTAACTGATCAAAGAAGTTTCACTTCTTTTTGGAAAACATCGATAACTGCAGATTACCGAACTGTCCGGAATGTCAACTATCATCGTATAACTACTGTTGACTTGTATTGGTCATGCTGTTTCCAGTAAAAAGCGCTCATACGTTTGTACCAACCTTCTCGAACAATCTTGCTAGAACAAGGTTCCAAATTATAACTACTTTTTAAAGAAAAGTTTATTGAACTTTTGATTCTTTTTTACAAATGCAGTTACGATTTTTACACAAAGCAGGCCTTTTAAAGTTTTGATATCTTTTTCTATAAAGCAGTTAATTCATATTTTATTCCTAATGAGTTTACTGTTCTTCTGTCTGTGAAGATCGCGATCTGCTTATTTAATTTAAACTCACCAATGCTCATTAACGAGCGGCTTGCAGACAACACCCAAGAAGATTTTCACCTGTAAACTTAATTAACACCTTTTCGACGTACCACGTTGTCTAAAATCTTGGACACAGCAATTGAGTCAAACTCCTAAACACGTGCATATGAACCAATATCTAACATTTCTATCTCGCCCTAATTCGAAGTTTGGGTCATACAGAAGCGGTCAAATATGACTTGACTCGTTAATAGCTCTATCACCTCTTTTTTACCTAAATGCAACCGATAACCTAATGGCATCATCGAACAGCCTGAACACAGAAACGGAATCGACTACAAGTTTTTTATCTTTTTGTTCAACGCCGTCTAGAATGGGAATGAGAGAGCTCAAGACATTTGTTTCGTCCTAATACCAGTTTATGAATAGGGCACATTTTCCCCCATGTCCGCACAAGGCAAGCACCAATAGATGGTTGTCATTATATCAAAAGTGTGAGCATAATTGGTTTTGCCTTATTCTATATTTCATGTATTTATTTTTTTTTTGTGGCCAAAACTAATGAAAATCATTACTCATTTTTTATTGGTAATATATCGATCAATATTGGCAAGTCATGCTCACTTCTAGACTATTTCTCATTACCATGTGCAAGACAGAGACGTTGGAACCAGGAATGCACCAGGAGCTCGTGCTCCCAACTTTTGGAAATGCCGTGTCTTAAAAAGTAACGTGGCTTTTCCGCGAAATTGTGCTACTTCCTACTTTCGCCTAGCCAACTTTGAAATGTTTCCGACATCTCTTGTGCAAGTGCAAAGATAAGCGGGGTTTATGTCTCTTTACTTTTACCCTGACGTTAAAGTGTCCTTGAAAGCAGGTTTTTGCTTCATTGCAAGCATTTCCTTTCGAGCTTTACGAAATGTAATGTACTTTGTTTTACAAGCAGCTTAGCTATCGAGGTTGCTACTTCAAACTTATTTTCTCTCATCAAACTACGCGTATATGCTATCTTGAGCTAATATGATTATTGAGAATATCTGAAATGTTTTAGAAATGGAAAATGTTACTGAATAGGTCGGATATAAAAATGGCTCCGCACTGCTTCATTTTTAGGTGCAGCATGATGTTGACGGAGAAGGGAAGTGGAGAGAATGTTTCGATGTTGTTGGTGTTGAACTGCCAACTAGTTACTACCTAGGATTTTCTGCTGCTACTGGAGATCTTGCGGGTATTATATGAATTTTTCCTAAAGTTTATTTGGCTATGATACATTGCGCAATTTTCGGTACTCGGCGAGCATCAAAAAACAGCCGTGGTATTTTCTACCCAGAAACTCTCGTACAATTAACCTATTGCACCGAGAAACGAATAAAGGACATTGCCAAGCCATACCATACTAACTCTATAGCAGAATATAGAATGGTGAGCAACATATGCGTCACTCTTTCTGCCTTCATTTCGACGGCACTAACACTTCCAAAATTTTTGGAGAAATCATCATAATATTACTCAACTGAATTTCCTCTTTCTTAAACTTCTCTTCTTCATGTTAACACATTTAACACATGATAATTCCCCAAGTTTGGTCGCGGTGTTTAAAGTAAACTTTTTCAACGCGCCTGTTTTCTCTGGAACTAAACGAGACACTTTCCCCCTTTCATAATTCATATTGCGTAGTTCTGTAATTTATATTTTATCACAGTAAAGCTTTGAGTCAAAGGCGCCTTTAATTCTAAGTTTAGGACCTTAGTGCGGAATTTTCTTGAAAACAGCTGGTTTCAGATAATTTGAACTAAGAAATTTGGATTTAGGCTGTGAGAATCTCATTTGTCTGCCGAGACTGCTGAGACAGACAACGAACATTTGGTCAAAACCTTAAAGCTAGCATGGAATAAATTTTCCTTTAAGCTATAAACATTCGCAATCAAGCAAAAATGCCATCAGCTATGCTCTTTAAATTTATCTGGAGCTCAACTATACATTTTGATACGACAGATCTTTTGGCGCTATGTCCTTCGAAAGTAGCATTGGCATTTTCTGCAGTCTTCATTTTTACCTTGCTTTAGAATCAGGCATGCCGTTGTTTGTATTTGGGTTCTCGCAAACCTGCGAACAACTTGCTTATGCCTACTTTTTATTTCTAACTGCTTACTGTTCCTTCTTTTTCTTCAAATGTTTTCTTCTCTTGTAGACAATCACGATATTTTGTCAATGAAACTATACGACTTAGACAATGAAAATGCAGGTGACCCCAGTCAGGAAGAGACAGCCAAAATTGTCCCACGTGCTTTAAAAGCGGCTGCTTATAGAGGTGAGTGCTGGTTCTATTTGTTTGCTTTCTGGCGTGCCTGGTTTTGACTCTGTTAATTACTTGGCATTCGCATAGAAACAAGGTTGATTCACAAATTATGGTATATGATACATAGATCTAGCAAAGCGGGATTTGCTCGTACTTATTGGCGAGAATGAAAATTCACATCTAATTCTGAATCGTAAGCAGGGTTGTAGTGTTTGGCTAAGCCCCCCCCCCCCGACTTCTTAATGCTAGAAAGTAACCATTTATAACATCTTGCTACTGTTTTGAGGATAAATTTTGTTTTCTCTCTGTTTTTGATTGATTTAAGTTGGTTGTAACTAGGATTTTTTACTTGCTTTCGCGGCCTAGCCTATTAGGCTGGATCGACTATACAATTCTTTAAAGTCGTGCAGGATATTTTTTCATTAAGCTTCCCTTCAAATTGCTATAGCTGTATTCTCAAAATACCTATAAACTGAAAAACGATGTTTGCAATTGAATAATATTATGTTAAACGAGCTACTTATTTTTGTAGCTCGCTAGACTTTTGTAAGGTTGAAGTCGGACCAAAAAGAGGGGTAGGGAAACAATCTGACTTAGCAGAAGTCTGACTTATCCATGGTACGACTTTTGACATGGAAAAGGGAGGAAAATCCAATAAGAATAAAGCAACATTCTTACTTAATTATTTTTGAAAGTCCCAGTTATCCAGGGTACGACTTAACAGTATTCAGCTGTATAGTCTAGATATGAAACCGTGTTCCCTTTTTGAAAGTATCGTTCATATAATGACAGTCCGTGAAATCGAGGCTCTTAATTATCGAGCATTTTGTAATGGAGGCAGCTCTTGGCCTCTGAAAATCCCATGGTTAGCTATGAGATTATTTGATTGCTTTGATTGATGTGATATGAACGATATGATGGATTGCAATAGCACAATTTCCAAACACCTCTGGTTTCCGCGCCATCTTGAAATTATGACGCAACGCCCTCCTGTGTGTCAATTCATATTGCTCAACTTTAGGGTCAGTGGCCATCATTTTTGCATTCTGATATTTGTTAATGTTAATTCCAGTTAGCAATTAGTAATTATTAACGGTATATATATTTGATTACAGAACATATTTATGGTCCACCGGCGGGTACAAGAACGCAGAGAGCTGTTGGTTGGTTGGTCGGTATTGTTTTATTTGCAGTTGTTGCTGCTGTCGGAGGATATTTCTATTATGATAAAAGGCAGCGAGATTCAGCAAAAAGGTTTTACTAGAATATTTTGTCAATTCAGATGGATGAAAATATGATCAGTTTCAATGGACGATTTCAGATGCAGAACTTCAGAACGTGAATACAGTGTCGATGCATGAGTTGTTGCTGAAAAATTATTGTGATGTTGTTAGCTTTTTCTAATTTATATTAAAGCTTTCTTTTGTCTTCGAATTACTATCACTAGCAGTGTATGAGATGGATTCCTGTTTGTCAGGACCCTAGACTGTTCAGGGACCATGCCACGCAATTTTTTGATATGTGACCCCTCCCCCTTCAAGTTGACGGGCGATCCTCGACCATGAGATGCTTATCTTCCAGAGCTTCAACCAGACTATTCATTTAATTGAACGCCACCATTGTACCATTCCTGAAATGTTTCTTAAAATACTACACAATATAGGATGTAATAAATACGCAATGCTAAGGAGATTGCCAGTGTTTGCTTTTATACAGAAGCCTCGCTTCCCCATTTATACTGATTAGATTCTCCGCAGATTGTTATAGTTTGGTTAGACATTTTCTTACGCTTCTTATCTGTGTTACGTCACATCTATATCTTCTTGGTACACTGAGGATCCCCTTAGATATATTTTTAGTAATCCAGAAAGCATTTGCAAAAAGCGTTATTGAAACAAAACAAAGATATGTTCCATATGGAAAGCACCTGCTGGGCATCTAGTGGTATGAGCGCCTGGGTTTTCTATCTATCTATATACTGTCCATGTTTTGCCAAAAAGGAGGTTACAATATTTCCTGCCCATCATTGAGAAACTTTTCAGTGGCTTAGCAAAGGTATCTGGGGCCCTAAGGAAAGAGACGGGGCCCTCTATTTACGAACCCCAAGAAAGATATTCAAGAGTTTAGAGCATGTAATGTACACAACAAGATGTTCGCGTTAACTATGGGTGAGCAGAGTTAAATGCTTCAGTTAAGAAACTTTGAAAGTTGTTGAAAATATAATAAACATGAGGGGAATCTTAAAAACGTATATAAAAAGATTGGGTTTGCCACTTTTGATCGATCGGGGACTCTAGTTATCTAACTAAGGTGCCCTAAACGAAAACTGGTATTTTTTGGTCCTTTTCTTTTTCATCAATATATTTTAGGTGCGTAAAAACATCGCAAGTTACATTTTCTCATTTTTGTCCAAGTAAGATATTTTTGCCAAATTAGACGTAGAAAATTCTTTTTGTCAGAGTAAGCCCATGAAATCTTTGGACCTGTTACAGTCATCGAGGCTGCAGCTGATGAATAATGGTTTGAAAGTATGACGTAATTTTATATTAGACCCAATTTGTCGTTTGTTATCGAGGAGATGCTTATGGGTGCCCATCAATTGTCATATGACTGAGAAATCAGCTGAATTATGCCTTTTTCAAGAAATATGTCATAGTTTTTCAGTTCTTTCAATTTCAATACCTTGTAATCCTTTCCTTTTTGTCTTCTCTTTACCGCATAAATTATTCTCTTCCCTACCTCAATTTTTCGATTTTTTTTATCTTGTATTTATAAAAATTATAAATTTGATGTGACATTTGATCAAAGTTTTAAATAGAAATGAGATTTTCAGCAGATTGCCTATTTATTCTTTTCGATTTTTCACTTATGGTAATAATTTCATTTTTGCCTACCATCCGATAGTTACAAATTCTTCCAAATTGTAAATTTTAGAGTAAAATCCCGTTGCTTGAGCAATCTAAAAACTTTAAGGAGTGCCATAAAACAAAAAATCCAAAAACTTAGCAAGAAGATTTATGAATAGTAATCAGAAAATTCGATATAATCCGTTCTCTAAAATTCCTTTGCTTTATATATGGTTTCTGTTATTGTATTAAATTTTTTACCAACGCGATAGAAAGTTGTTTGCAGAAGATACCTAGATGGTCACTGAAGTTTGCAATGCTTTTTCATTTTAACTCAAATCAAACCTTTGAAGTCTTAATAGATCCCGCAGCACTTCTTTTTTATGCCACACCCTTCCCCACAAGGATTGGCTTTCTTTACTGTTAGTGTTTAATAGGCATTTTAAATAAGGCATTGACGAATTCATGGAACGAAGATGTTACAATACGTTGTTAGGCAGACGTCTTTGATCTAAATTAAAGGCACAATAGTAGACTGTGACAGTCTATCTACCGGGAATTCTAGACTTTGACGTAGTAAGCAATTTTCTTTCTCGTTCTCTTTTTCCTGTCTCCAGTAACGTGGCGAGGAGGGTGAAGGATTGATAGTATGTAGTATCCAATAAAATCTCAGATCTGCAATAAGGTAAATACCTCAGAGGGGTGGGGGGGGAGGGGTGTATCTATGTAATCGAGAAGCGATCAGAAAACGAGAAATAAGAAAATAGAGTTATGTTGGAGACGCAGTTGACACCCGCTACTCTGATCCGTCCACTGTCTCGAAAGTTTTCAATTTATTGTCACTTTGATATCGGGGTTTTTTAAAGAGGAACTCTCTCAATAGGTAACCCAATCGAGGAGAGAGCACCCCCTTTAGCCATACTTTGTATAAAAAAAATTTGATTGGATTCATTCACTAACAACAATCAGTTATTGTAACTTTTGTCAAATAAATATGATTCAGGTTTTTACGAAAACTAATAACAGAATGGGATTTCTTTACTCCAACGGAAATGGCATTCCACATCTTTGCACCATAGAAACACAAAGGTACATATGATTGTTATCGTGTTTGATTATAAACCAACCATTGACGTGTTAAACCAAAGATTGCACGTACAAATTTTTTTTCAAAATGGGCATTTTGAAGGGCGTGGCCAGGTACCACGGAGCGTTGAGAAAATTGTGGGTCTAAAAAAAGGGGGGGGGGGGCTAAAACCTTTTAAAAAGAGGCTTTACTGATGTTTTAGTATCAAATATTGGGCATTTTTTGCAAAAAGTGGCTAAAGCCCCCAAGCCCCCTCCTGCTCCGCGGTGCCTGGTGGCCTGCGAAAATTGGGCGGAGGAAGGCCTTCTTTATTCATTTCCTTTGCTTTTTTTCTAGTGTCATTTGCAAAATGAATTGTAAACTCGTCGTCAAATCACGTCAACCGTGCACATGGTTTTGATATCTCTATCTTGAGTTTTTTTCATGTGTTCGTCAGCTGATTTAATTATATATAGGGTTGTTTTTTTCTTTAATGTTCTTATTGTAATTTTGGAATTCATTATTGAATTTTGAACAACTTACTTAAATGACGTAATGTGTAATTAATTGATTTGCTGAAAATGTTTTTTTTGAGTTTTTGAGTTTGAGTTTCGGACCCTCTGTAGCTTTGAAGGTTTCGCCTTACTATGCTGGAGCCTCTGGTGCCCCTGGTGCCCAGTGACTACTTTGTGTAAACGAGGCTGTGATTGGTGTTGTGACTGATTGTGGTACTTCCTGAAAGGGTACACCCAAGTTATGCGAAGCTACAGAAGCGGTTGTTTGGAGGGTATAATTGGGAAATATGACTGTTTCCTGGAGGCCTGTTGAGCCAGTGAAGTATGCTGTCGGTAAGTTCATGGTTTCATTGAGCTAAAAACGGTAGAATAGAATTCGAGACTACTTAAAACTCACCTCACTTTAAGATAGAATGGCCTAGAGTGGGGGCTTATGATTTTAAATAAGGCATTGACGAATTCATGGAACAAAGGTGTTATAATATGATGTTACAATTCAAGAAGTGTGGTTCGCTGTTCTGAATCAGAATGTTTTTGGGAAACATTGAGAGTGTTTAGATGAAAGGCCAAAGTTTATTGTTCTAAGAATTAAAGTAAAGTCATCAATGCTAAGAAGCTGAAACAGATTTACTTTTACCACCGAGAGTTGTTATTTGACGCACATTTTGAGTTGATATCATCTACTTAAAACTTAGGTAGATATATATTGCTTCACAGACATTTTCTATTTGATCGCTTTTTTTTCTTTACTAGGCAATAGAATGTAGGGAGAATGAAGAATCTTTCATCATAACAGCAATTAATGACTAAAAATTCAAGGTTATGATGAAGCAACAATTTTTACCTTAAATTCTTAAAATTTTAATGTTTCAAACTAGAATTTTTGACTTATCTTTTAGAGCTATGTTATCTGGTTTGTTTGTCATACTTCAAATCTTATCAGAAATCTTTCTCTCCATAGCAATTTGTCAATATTCTGGAAAGCATGACTATTGTCTTTCATTACAACTTGGTGAAATTGTTGCAATCAAGGAAACACATAAAGGTGGGTTACCTTGTTGATGGATTCAAAAGGAAACCTTACTTTTAGATGATATGAAGATTTACTATAAATTCAAAACACAAGTTGATGTCCAATCAATTTTTATTTTCTTTGCCCATTTGTCTCTTCAGTCTTTGTGAAAATTGGCTTCTTATTGTGTTTTTCACTTTTCCAAGTTGTAAGGCCCTTTTTTGATAGAAGATTTCAACTTAGTTTTTGTATTTGATTTAAATTCATTTAGCTACTAGGTAAAGTAAATTTGAAAAATAAGTTCATGACTGTTGTATACAATATAATGTGGGTAAGATCACAAAATTTACAGAATAAGAAATTACAATGGCAATAAATTTAGGCAACAAGAAAGACTCTAACAAGTTTATTGTGTTTGTTATCAAAAATTAATTTTTAAAATTCATTAGGAATAAGAAGCATTCTACAATCATTGATATTACCTGCTCTCATGCAGAGTTCTAATCTTTTGTCAATCAATGGTTTTAGATGTAAAATTAGTTTTACAGAATATGGTAATGCTAAGGACTTTTGGCAGGGCATCAAGCTTCTAATCTGCAATTGAATTTCTAGTAATCTGTAATGGTTCTTGAGTAGAACAGACCTTTCAACACAATAAAGTGTATTCTTTTGAGCAAGAGGTGATTGTTTTAGCATTCACTGTGAAGATAGACAATTTATTTCAGTAACTTTCAATATATTAAAAATTCCATTTGGAACATTGAACCTGAATCAATTCAATTTCAGTTCATTACTTATGAAAAAAACTTGAAGAGAAATAGTCACACTTTAATTTTCAAAGGCAGTCACTGTTAAAACAATTTGGGCTCTCTCCTGGGGATTCTTCTATTCTGTGTTATTTCACAAGTTAACACATTTCTTAGTCAAAAGTCAAAGACACTATGCACAATAGAGCTCCTAATCTCCAGTTGAATTTGTAAGGAAATGTAAGGAAATGTAGGGGACAACAAGAAATGAGCCATAGGGAAACAAAAGGGGGGGGGGACACAGATGCACCATAGCGGAACAAAGCAAACATTGAATGGGAGCACTGAATTTGAGAAAAGCAGCTGTCTTTCTGCAAATTGTAAATCCCAACTGCAAATTATCTTAAAGACCATTTTTGTTTCATAAAGACACACTATTTTAGAACCCTTCCTTCTCACTTCCAATATATGTCATTTTATAATGGTAAAGCATTACTATATGTATATATGGATACCTGATTAACATAAATGATGTTATGTTGATCACTATCTTAACAAATCTAACTAGACAATGTTGAGAAAAGCTTGATATCTTTATTTTTTATCATTCCAGAATGGTATAGGGGGTTCTCACTGAGAAACAAAAACGTCTGGGTATGCTATTACATATTATACAAATTATTATGATTTTATCTGTATTTGAACTATAATACAAACATGAAAATTGTTAGCTATGCTCAATATTTTTAGTTAATCCGAGTTTTCTGTTTAATTGTATGATTTTTTAGGGAATATTTCCTGCAACACATGTACATGTCAAAGACCATAATTTGGATCGACAAGGGTAAGATTTAGATTGTATTCAGCTTAAAAGTTTCCTAAATTAGTTAAATAGAATTAAAACATTTTAATAAAGTGACAATCAAGAGGTCTGACTTTTAAAAAGCGGCAATTACTAGTATTTGCTTTGGAAAATCAGTCCAATCGGGAATTCCCCAAGCCCAACCCTTAACTGGCTATAGCAAAGTTTTACACTGTCTAATGTATGTGAATTCAAGTCAGGTAGATCAGTTTTCCATACATAAAATTTAAACATATTTTTTGTACTATGATGAGAATTAGATAAAGAGTGATTTGACAAAAAAATCACCATATTGAAATTATGATTTTATGCCAATTTCTATTTTGCATTTTTCTATTTTGTCAGGTAATAATTATCTCTTTCTTCAAAAACCTGCATTTGTTTTCCTGATATCATATACCTGCGTGGTATAAGGGTTGCAATCAGCAGTAATTATATAATTTATTTGAAGAAAAAGTAGCTGTATTTTATTTGTACGAAAATTCTTTTCAGGTATGTAGGATTCACAAACGTCAGAATCATTCTTAAGTGCTTCTTTAAATAATTCATTTTTGAAAATCTTTGCAATGTATATTTTGATCTTTTGAAAGGTTTTTTTGCACGTTGCTTGTCATAGTATTGGGTTTGATTTTTCTTTATTAAGGGTTTGTTAAGATATGCATCATTTTATTTTGAAAATGCAAGGATGAAATATTTTTAGAGCACTGAAATGGTAAAGCTAACTTGAACAATCTGTATTTTGAATATCAGGCAAAATGTTGAAGCATCCAAGAAAGAGCTGCCAATTGTAGAGGAAGTTACATCAGTTCTGAGAGAATGGGGTATGATATGGAAGGAGCTGTTTGTGGTATGGGCTGATTTCTTTGAGATATCAGTATAGACGAATTTAAATTTTTTTAAGAATCATAAGATACAAGTTTTGCATACAATCATAGCCTATTGATTTTTCAGGCCTACCCTTGGATGTTATAAAGGACTGATAGCAAAATGATGCTGAATAACCAATTTTGTATGCTTTTGTTTATTGTTTGGAAACTCTGCCAAAAAACCTTCTAAAAGTAGTTGCATGTTTAGAAAGTTTCAGCCAGTCTACTTTGAATAGTTTAGAAGGGCTAGTTGAAGGCCTCACATCTGATAATTATGGAATAAAACTGAAGAATTGCAGATCATGCATACATTTCACATTAATTGAAGAAAAACTGCCATGTTACTGTAAAATTTCCCCGTTACATGTTATTCAAAACCCTTATTCCATAGAAACAAGAAACAGAACTGTTTCAAGACATTCGCCAGCTGATGATGGAGCTTATGAACTGGAGAAGGCAAATCATCTCAGGAACTCTTACTGCGGTAACGAACCTTTTGATAAAAGTCTGCCTAATTTATCTTAATATCGATTGATAGGTGCGTTGTTTACAAGCTGTCAGCCATAGAATGCGATTTATACCATATAATGCCTACTTTGTATAATAAATACAAGTTTCGTCAATACCTATTAAGAAAAATCAGCTAACAGTATTTCAGTTACTCCTTTTCAATCAATTTTGTAGTTTCTAAGGCTTTCTGATATACTAGTTATAGTTAAAAGTACGAGTTTCAGTGTTTGCTTTATAAAATAAATGACAAGACACAGAATGAATTGGAGGCAATGAAATGGATGAAATGGAGTGAAGTTAACGAGAAGGCGCATTCTCAGGAAACGTGTGACTCATACTACAAGGACAGGGATGCCGAAGCACATTTTAGAGTTGGGGGTCTAGGTAGCTTGGCAAACATTTCTTGTAGTTTGCCACCATTATTTTTGGTGCCTTAACCTTGATTTTATACTTCAGCAAAAATGATGGCTGGGGGCGAGGGGGGGCTACAGCCCACAGCTACCAAGGCTCCACCGGGCCTAAAGGAATAGGATATTTTACTACTTAGGAAGATAAAATATTTTGAGAAGTTTGGTTTTTGTTTTAGGACCAAGTTCAGCAATTGAAGCGTGATATTGCGAATAAGATTGATTATGGAAACAGGTAAGTTAAATCGTTTTTTCCTTTGGCGTTGTTTTTGTTCAAAGTTTTGCACTTTACTTTTATTATTTTGTATATTGTCAGCGTTGACATGTATCTACTCTGTCCTTTCCAGGAAACTTGGCCTTGATCTAGTTGTTAGAGACAACGCTGGGAATATTATCAATCTGGAAGAAACTGGAGTCATCGAACTTTATAAGCGTGTATGAATATTTTTATTAAAAAGTCCCCGTTTGTTGACCCTTTGTTAAGGAATTTTTTGCCTAATGATTGAATGAAAATTTACGAAAGTTAGTGTAAGTTATTAGACAGTTCTATACGCGAAAAAGGTTTGCCAGTATAGTTCTATTTTTGTTGAAAACTTTGAACCAACAATTCTTATGGCTGCTTATCCGGCTTTTCAATATATTTCGATGTTTTCATGCATTAAAAAGGTCTAAATATCAGATATATATATCAGTTGACTAAGTACTTTTTGCTTACTGCTTTAGTAGCCATTTTTCCGGTTTTTGAGCACTCTGTAGTTAACTTATATTAAGTAGGGAGAATGTTTTGTTTTTATAGCACCTTGAATCATCGCAAAGAACTCAAAACAGTGTAAGTTGTTCACATTCAGTTTTCCTGCATTTAGCGATTGCAAATTCTTTGATTTGATTGACGTACTGTTGCCTTGATTGACATTATCAATCAGGTTCAGCTGCTTCTCGTTTACAAAAGGATGGTGAAGATTATTTGATCTAGGCTCAGAAGAAGATGTAAAGCTCATTTTATAGAAAGAAGGAAAAATCAAGTATTAGACAAAATGAAATCAGTTTTTCAGTCTCATCGTCAATTTAATGAAAAGTTGCCGTTTGTCAGTCTGTCGTAAAGTGATCAGGAGAGGTGGACACAAAGTTGTCAACTCATATGAAACAAGCAATATTTAGATTACAATCTGTCCAATCTAGATGACAGTTTTGCTTGCCGTAAAAAAGATTGGAATTTTCATGGGATGATTGTAAATTCAAAATAACCTTTTGAAGCTCGAATTGTTAGCGTTAATTCTCAAATATACTTGCAATAGTTGTCTCTGTGTAATGTTTTTTGTTATTTCAATTTCAGTTTTTAAAGAAAATAACCATAGTGCCAATGATTGTAATTGGTACAAAACGTTATTGTTAGTATATAAGCGACTTGTCTTAAGAAATTGTTTTTACAGCCTGATGGTCGGATGTCTAGAAGGTCCCAGAAGTCAATCAGCGCATACAGCAGCCATAATTTGTATGTTAACATAAAAAATGTTATCTGCAAGATTGGGGATGATTCAGAAGTTTATATTGCACTGTATGATGGCAGAGAGAATGTTTTTATCAGGTAATTTGACCAACAGGATTTGTTATAAACTGTACATCAACAAAATGTTCCTGGTAATTTGCATGCTTCTGAGATTCCAAAGTTCCCCTTTAAAGACGATTTTTAATATTAAGTGTTTGTAGAAAAACTATTCCAACTCATTATTGTATGTGTAGAGCAGTAAAAAAATGTCATACCGTTCAAAGACATGGCTGGGGTTGTTTTGTTATTATGCGGACAATAGAAAGGCAATAACCAGCTTACTATCTTTCTTGCTTAATATCTTCTTAATTTCAAATAGATACTAAACATTTTTATGTTCTAGCATAATGTTATTGAAAGACCCCGAAGTTTTGATAAACTTTTCGTAGACCTCTTTCTAGACGTGGCAACTTATGCTGGTCAGAGAGTGGGGATAAGTCGACACGAGTGACACTTCTTTAAAAATAAGGATCATATAGGGATAATTGTCATTGTCAAGCTTACCTTAATTGATTTATGTTCTCACGAGCTGGTATCTCATGGTTGTTTTCCCAAGTATGTTTCCTTTCCTAGGGTAATCTTGTTATTTGTCAAGTTTTGTTAAGTACGAGAGAGTTTTTTATTGGTCAAATGCTACTTCCGTACGGTTACCTTCCGGATTTCATGCTATTTCCATTAATTCTAAGACGAATTTCGTGACGAATTTGACCGCTTGGTTAAGATTTGAAGGACTTACATTATCTGTTTAAAAAACATACTGTTTCGTTTCTTTGTATAGTAGATGTATGCAGTCCATTAAATTCAAGCATTTGTAAATGCTTTCCAGTGCACATCTAAAGTAATTTCTTTTTATCTAGTGAGCAGTTCGTTGTCAGATGGGACAAGCTTGGCATGCCGAAGGACTTGGATAGACTTCATAACCTCTCTTCTCTTTTCACTGTAAGAATATCCTGTTTATTTGTTGTAGATTTATATAAGGCAAATCAGCTCACATGCTATTAATTTAATAAAAACTGTTAAGAACAACTATCAGCACGCATGTTTTGATTTAATGAGTTTTTTTTGAAAAAATAGAAGGGTGTTGTAAGAAAAGTAGCAATAGATGATTTTTAAGTTGCGACTTAAAAAATCTGGCAGTTGTTATTTTATATCTTGATGTTTTAAGCTGAGGCAAAACCACTCAAGCTTGCTGTAAACATTTCAAAGGTAAAGCTGTAATTTTTTTTTGGAATCGAGAAAATTTTTCTTGCTGCGGCGAGAAAATTTATTGTTTTATATTTTCTAGGTGTTAGCTTTCAAACAGAATACAATAGAAGAAAATTTTGTTTATTGCTAACATTCATTCCAGTTGTGTTTAGAAATCCTTACTTTTTCTCATATAGATAGGCTTACAAAGTCAAATATACAAGTTTTATTTGCAGATATTTGTTTATAATTAACTTTTTTTATTCAGGATTTGGGTTCTCAAGATCTTCAAAGAGATAAGCTCTTCGTTGTTTGCCAAATTATTAGAAATGGTCAGTATTTCATGTTATAGAATTACTCTCTACTACAAGCAAAATATAATCATTTGTTTGCGAACAGCACTTGACAGTGACCTTATTTTACCGTCATGAAACTATTGGATGCAGCTAATATGAATTTCCAAATGATAAGTACGGTAACATCCATCTTCCTGAAAAATTTTGATCCACCTTAACCCGTTGACATTACTGGGTCGTAGCTCTTTCTGTGAGTGTACACTATTTCAGGGTCTGTTGATATGTGCAAAGTTTACCCTAACCTGTTTATTTATGAGCTGAGAGCTTACTTCTCGGACAAATCAGTAAGATTTCCATATTATGTTTACACAAGAAGCAATTTATCTGGATCAAGTTGAATCCTTCTTGCAGCAGGCTGGATCTCGCCAAATGAGCTGAAATTTTTCTGATAAACATAGCAGAAGCTAGAAGATGCGACTAAATACTTAGCTATGCCTGTGCACTCTTTTCCCGGGCGAATAAGAATGACATTCTGTTATCTGCATGGTTGGTTTAGAACTGAGAGCAAAATTAAGTCACAAGCTTTGAAATAAGATGAAATTTGCTTTTAAACCTACGATATGTAAATCCCATCTCGTAGGAGGTGGGTTAGAATGTGATATGATTTCATTCATATATTGGTGATTGTATATGTCCCACAACACTGGGTCCCCATCGCAAACACCCCACATGAGAGAGTTACCATTGTGTAGGGTTAAAAAGGTAGATTGGTTCTAAATTTTCAATTACTCGTTGGATTGAACCTTAATGAATTCTAGAATTATGCTGATGCTCACTGTTCTTTGTCTATTCAGTTGGTTCTGCAATCACAGCTGAAACTTGAATGCTACTGAACATTTTGATAAATGACGCAGCATTTATATTTCCTTTGTAAGAATGCACTTGCAGCTATCAAGACAGATTTTAACTTTAGAAAAAAAATATTTCGAATGCTATAAAGAGCCATTTTGTAGGTCGCATGATTGCAAAGGATGCTGACAACAAGCGACTGACTCAGCGGCTTCGTAGGCCATTTGGAGTGGCAGGTATTAGAATTTGAAGACATAATTTTCATAGGGTGCTTGCTAAAGCTTCTTTTTCAAATATTGCTCTAAAGTTAATGGTTGTTTCTGCAAGATATCTCTCTAAATCATGTATACTTCATTTTGTATACTGATTCTAAATTGCCATTTTTGATTAAACGCGTATCATGAAGTGCAGAATTATGAGATGATCAGGTGTGCATTCCCCGGTATTGGTTCTTAGTTTCTTATTTGCATTTTATCTTCAGTCCTATATGTCAGTGATATTATTAGTGGAAAAGTCGAAGATGCAGAAGACAAGGAATATTTTCTACAACTTCATACGTAAGTCTTTATCCAATGGCATCTGGTTGCTACTAAAAGTTTTTAAGAAGTTTGAGACTTTTCTTATTTTTTTAGTTTTTAGAATCTTTATTTTCTGATGTTTGGGATGTTTGGCAGTCAAAGCATTGTTAGCTAGGATTTAAACTCTTCTTTCAAGACATATTTGATTAAAAATCATAAGAATTCTAGCTACTCTCACGAACCCCTGTAACGGACCGTTTATACGCTTGTTTTAATTGATGCAAATGATAAAGTAATAGTAATTTGTAGAGCAAAATATGTCACATACTGGGTACAAATATGTTAGCTGTTTTTATCAAAATAAATCATTGCTTACTCTGGTTCTTTTCTCCATTATGAATGAAATTACGGGTCTGTTATAAAGTAGCGAAGTAGTTATGGTGATTGTCTGCTGTGCTTTTGGGTTCGAATCAAATTCAATAAGAGATTTGAACCTAGTAGGATATATAGATACAGGATAGACATTCTGGAAAGATGAAGGCACTGAGGAAAGGAACTAACTGCCATTGTTATTCATGATGCTTTTGGCCATGGGAAAGTGCCCCCTCTGACAAGCACTTCGACAGCTATTTACGATCCTGTACATAACCAATCTTAAAGTACACTTATGTCATTGGGAAAGCTCTATTACATTTTATTTCCTTACAGGATTACTGGCGACGGTGAATTCATGGATACACTTATCCGGAAATGTGTCACTAAAGAGCAAGATAGACAGTCTTCTAACCAAGGTATTTGACTAATCTTCACATTGCTTTTCCGTTTTCTGACCAGGTATTACTAAAAGTTAGCGATGTCTTTTTAATGTAAAGTATTGTTAACACATTAGGTATTTGCTTTGGCGTTGTCAAATGTCACAAAGTCATCTACTTTGTTCCTTTTGGATTTGGTTTATAACCTGCTTGTTATGACACAGTTCACTGATTACTTCCAGGTATCTGGCTGTCACTGCAAATGGTACATGGTGACCTTGCAACGGTATATAAATCTATTTATTTTATAAAAACATTTTTTCGGCTACACAATTTCAGGCATGAACCGTGTAATACCTTATTTAAGTCTCTTACACTCACAGTACGATTATTAATAATAATTTTAAAGTCATTCAATTTAATATCGTAGATCCCTTTTCATACATTGCAATGGTCACTTAGTTTTTCAGTATGTTTAATGTTCCCATTGAGAGTTTTAATGCAATTTTCATCAATTTCCTTTTTAGTAATGTTTTACCTATCGCAACAAATCTGCGCAATTTTTACCTATGCCATAACTCAAGTATTTCTCAAGCCATCACTCAAGTAGCGATTTCTTTGATAGGAACTATTTGTATCTTAATGCTTTAGACCGCCGGCGTTGTTCTAAAGTCAAGCCCTGATTTTTTAGGTGCGAGAAGAGCACCCGTCCTTGGTCAACAAATTCACTGTCGTTGCAAGAAAGCATGGCTTCCCAGATGTTATATTTCCAGGTATAAAAATCTTATCGATAAAGTACTTGACACTTGATAAAATTAGATCTGTTGAACCCCAGTTTGATTTTGGTTATCGTACACTCACGAAATGTGCCCCATCGCTATGCTTTTCGTGGCCTTCATACTCTTCTCCTGAATTTGAACGTTACATATGGGGAAGTTTAATGTTGTCTTAACTTTTCCGACATGTGCCCGACTTCCCTTATCACAGTAATCTAGACGTTTTATAAAGCTTGTATTCACAATGGGTTTTTGCTTTAGGTGACACGAGAAATGATATTTACATAACCCTACTCAATGGGAACTTTGAAAGAGGTACTTTAAGCTTTTTTCTAACTTTGCATTGCTTTATTGCTAATTATTAGTTAACTTTATTTGGTTGATTTTGATGTACCATTTTATTAGCATATTAGACAAGCTTCTGTGAAAGCCGATAGAGACCTGGTTTGGCACGACAGAGTTACTTTTGCCTTTATAACTTTCTTTGCCCTTTTTAGAAAAGTTTTTGATTGCTCAGGTTATCACATTTCATTGTTTTATTGGCAGTTTTGTCTGTTGACTTTGACCGTGGACTTAACTCCCAACCAGAATGATCAATTTTGCAAAATTTTGGCAGTTTTTAGTTTAATGAAGTTGTAACAGCTGCGCCAAGTGTTTCCTTATCCCTAAAGAAGCTCAAACTTATCGATAAAGATTTGTCAGTAAAAAAGAGCTTAAAAGAATGTAGCAGCTTCTATTTTCTAATTGAACTAAATAATTCATTACTTAACTTTCACGTTATTTTTGATATCAGACTCTTCCGACCTTAAAATTGCCAAACAATGATAAGGTTTGATAATCTGACATGAAGAGGCCTAGAAAATACCAAGATTTTGAGGATGGTCGTGTTGAGATTAAAGAACTTTCAATGCCATGCCCAATCTTGTCATTAAGTTCTGCGGGCTGTTTTCAGAGGTTTTCCATGACTCTGCTCCTCTTTTCACTCAGCATTGATAACTGTTCAACAAAATGAGATCCATATCGTCATTTTCAGCCACGAGTTTTTTAGTTGAACGGGTAAATTGTGTTTTTTCTCTGTTTTTAATTAGTATGATGACGTAAAATAGGCCTCATTTCATTTGCATATTTGATGTTTGTGGCTTTAAGCCCTGAAAGCCCTAATGCATGTTAATGCTTTAGGAAACAAAAGTGCAAATAAGAATATTCAAGTGACAATGGCAATTCATGCGGCAGATGGCACTCTACTTGAAGTAAGATATTTTTCCTCATTTCAACCGTGAACCACCTGCCCCTTCCCAAATTATTGTGACAGTTTTGAAATGAATGAACATGTATTCATCAAAGGTTTGCTAACTATCATACATCAATCTCATATTTTTGTTTGCTTTTTCGTTGTTATAAATACAGCAAGAATCGTCAGAGTTCTAAAAAGATATATCAATTGTCGTTGTTTTATCTAGAGTATATATAAATTTGTTATTTTTCTGCAAAAAACCACGATTTCACTGTCCCACAACAACTTCAGTTCGGCTAACAAAGCGCTATATATTTGATTGTTGGAACTTAGAGCATTCAGGCACAGTAGATCCTCTTTTTACGTACACCTGCGGAGTTGTCCGTTTATAGTAAATGTCCGGTGTCCGGAGTTGACTTCAAGAATGCCTTTACAGTGGGAAAAAAATCTAGGACGAAATTCCATGTCCATTGTTTGGAAGTGTCTATTATAAGAAAGTTGCTTTCTATATAATAGTTACATCCATGTCTAACTTTTTTTTTGAAGAGTGTGATAAGTCCTGGGTCAGGTGAAAATATGTGCAGCGAATATTACTCATGCATTTATTACCATTGTGCTAATCCAAGATGGATGGAAACAGTTAAGGTGAGTCTCTTACTCCATATTGAATCTGCTTGGCGATAGATCTCCTTAATCGTTGTGATTGCACGCCCAATACAGAACAATTTCATAAACATTGGGGTGTAAAATCATCAGGGCAAGCTGCTTAGACAACCTGGCTATTCATAATTATTTTTGTCTGATAAGACTTTATGTTTATAGTGAAAAAATGAAAATATTTGAGTCAAATCCACGCAGTTAATTGGTTTGCACTACTCAAAAGTAGTTTGGATTTTCAGTCATATCTCAGTTTCCAGTGAAAGATTAGTACAGAAACTGAAAACAATTTGAACGGATTCTTTCACAAGTCTCAGAACAAACTGCCCATAACGGCCGGTTTGTGCTTCCGATTCAAAACTAATATTAAATTGGTTTCATTCCATGACCGACCGACCAACCGAAAGTTATGCTATTCATCTTACCGAAAGTTATGGTAATTTTCAAGCTCGGACTAGCATAGATCATTTTTATCATATATAACAAGAATTTGTCATTTAACGTAATGTATTTCTTTTCTTACGCAGCTAAGTGTACCAATCGAGCGCATCCAGGGGTCACATATCAGATTTACGTTCAGGCACAGGGCAACAAATGATGGTGAGCTAGTAAATCTTCTTTACTTTTCACACTTATATTTGTTCTTTTGTAGATAAAGCTGATGACTGAATCGCTTTTGTTAGTTTATTTTTTGCGCTTTATGTGAGTTTTTTGTTTCTCTAGAAAAAGACAAAAATCAGAAAATTTTTGCATTTGCTTACCTCCCTCTTATGAACAACGATGGAACCGCGCTGCAGGACAGTTGTCATGATTTGGCAATTTATAAGGTTTGTATTAATAATTCATAAGGCTTCTTTTTCACATTGAATTTTTGGTGTTCCCTAATAAAAGGATGATGACGAAGTTTCAGAAAAATGAACCTTGGTTTATTAAAAATTCTTGTATCAATACGTTGTGATGTTTCATGGCTGGCAATGTCTCATAACTTTAAAAATGTGTACCAAACACACATTGAGGTACTGTCGATTAACCCTGAATATTCTCATCTACCCCATTGGCTCATAATTTCTATATGGTTTGTCGTTGTGCTTGTGATTGTCCAGTAACAGACATGTCCGAAGTTTCTTTAGAAAATCATATCATTTAACCTTAATTGTTTGATGTTTTGATCTTAAGCTGTAGCTGCTAGTATTATACTTCCCTAACCTTTGTCTTTTCTCAGTGCGAAACGAGAAAGATCGACAGCAATACGTCATACCTGAAACTGCCTTCGAAAAGGACAACAGCGATGGCTACTCTACCGAACCAGAAGAAAGCTATCTCCAGTGGTGGATTTTCCTACAGTAGAAATGAGTCATTCCAAGTCTCTTTTCAGCTTTGTTCAACAAAATTGGCACAGAACGGTATGTCGAGTCTTTACTGTCAAAATTACTGTTTAAAGCTCAAGGACTGCACAAATCCTGTAAATAACCGGAAGAATGGAACCCTTTACGAGAAGTCTTGCCTGTTAGCATTTAAGAAAAACATTAATTTCCAAATAAGATATATCAAGCATCAATGGATTTATTTCTGAAAATGGAGAAAACATTCCCCTAACGTGTACCAATTTCAGTTTTCTACAAAATTACACATTTTGGTATCACATGATACTACAAGTGCTAAAAGTTCAAATGAAAATAATTGATTTATTTTTTTGTAAACTAATGCTTAGTATATGTCTCAGTCCATTAAATTTATCACGTTTATCGTGTTTATCGAAGCCCTTTCACAACACCCACCATTAGGCCAGTGTAAATAAGGTCCAAAACACGCAATGTTTAGTGATTTTGGTGGTTTGCAAACACCTTACCTTTAAAAATGTCTCTCAAAAACATTGACCATATTCATTTTGAATCTATTGTAAATAAAATATTGCAAATACAGGTTTTAAGTGAAATTTGTTTTGTTACTAGTGGACCTTCTTGGCTTGTTGAAATGGCGTTCACAAAAGGACAAGCTGTCTGACATTTTGCCAGCTCTCATGAAAGTCAGCGGAGAGGAAATCGTCAAGGTACTGTATATTGTAACGCAGCACCGTCTTTGAAAATATAAATAAGCTATTTGATTGCTCCATGTGTAAGATCATGCATTTTGATGATATACTGAGAGAACATGTGAGTGAGTTTCACTAACAGGACAGGGCTCAAACCAGCGACAAGTGACACTGTATGTCGTTGCTTCACTAATTAAGCTACCTGGTACCTGGTAACGTTTTCAGTTCAAAGCCCAACGCCGTGCTTCTCACCACCGACCTTTTCCCTCTTATAGATCCTGATCCACTACGCTAATTTAGATTATAGTAGTTGTGATTACATTACGATATGTGCATGAATCAAGATGGTTATTACAATTTGATATGCATCAATTACATCTTTTGTGAAGTAATGCTTTATGGAAGCTTGTAAATTGTTGAGATGAAATGTTGAATTATTCAAAGAAAATGACTTATAAATGACTGTTTCATGTTAGCCATCGAGCTTCAAGTATAATTTTCCTGATTGTCATTTGTTTCATCCCAGTTCTTGCAAGATGTCTTCGATGCTCTATTTGCAATTCTGATGGATGACCCAGATAAATACGGCGAACTCATTTCTGACGCAGTTGTGAGTAGTTATAACAAGTTATTATCACCCCGGAAATGGAAACACCACATAACCTTAGCTGTATTTTAGGCCAATTTGCTCGATAATTCTTATCTTTTTCTCGTTTTTTACGCAAAAATGTGTACCGAGCAAGATGTTATCTTTATAAAGATATACCCTGTGGATTTCCTTCCTATGTTTGAATAATTATAATAATCGACATTTATACAGGATAAGAAACTTGGTCAACTTTCTCAGAAGCTGCTATCAGTCAAGTTCCTGTTAAAACTCGGGCTGAACTCGGGCTGTTAGTGTATCCGTGATAATATAAAGATGACCATAACAAACATGATAGAGCTGCAAAAGCCACGGCTCATTCACCCCAGAGGCCAATCCTGTCAATGATATTCTTGTTTTGGACAACAGATTTTATATTACTGAGAAACGGACTACAAAACGCGAGGAAAATTTAAGCTTTTCAGTTAGACTATATTATTTCCTTTTTTGGCTTGATATACCCAACATTAAAAGACAAAACGCTGTATGATCTAATCAAGTCGATACTCATAATTTTGCTGATAAAGAAAGAAAATCCGGTTTGGCGACGCAGAAAAAATGGCAACAAGGGCCAAAACATTCTATAGACTTACTTAAGATGCAAAATAGTTTCAATTTGAATCGCTAAATACAGATTAGATCTGTACAATTCGGTGTTGTTTTTTTCTCAGGTGTTTTGTATAACACTGTTGGCTGACAAGAAGTATCACCAGTTTAGGCCTGTTCTTGATGCATACATAAAGAACATGTTCAGCGCTGCCAAAGCTTACTTGTAAGTACCTTTCTAGGCCAGTTTAATGTCAGCCCTTTGGAGGCAACTAATAAACTACACTGCTAAGCAAATTGTGATATAATTGTAAACAAAAAGCCTATATTAAATGTTATTGAGGCTTTTTTTCTGCAAAGAGAAGCTGCATTTTAACGATTTGAGTAATAACAAACATATTCTGTTTTGAGCTGCCGGCATCCTCTGTTATTTGTGCAAATGATTCTGGAAACTGTTTTCTCTACTTTTCTTCTGGGTACAATGCACTTTTCTCAGTAATTTGTTCGAATCTATTCGTTTTTCTACTCTTTTTATCTATTCCTCTTTGATTCAGGACACTAACAAGTGTGCTGCAGAAGCACATAGAGATTGCAGACAAGTCTGAAAAACGTGTGGAGGATAAAAGAGACCGGCTAATCAAGTATTTCAAAGTAAGTTTTCTGTCAAAAAGTCCTTTTTTCTAAATTTTCCCTATGGGTTGTAATTTTTGCATCTGTTTAATTGTTTAATTTTAGACGTCTTTATTGATAACAAACCCAATTCATATTTACTTCTTTGCAACTGTAATAGCTACAGCTTCTGCTCTTACTACCTCACTTTTATTCTCTCTCTTATCCAGTTTCCAGCTTCCACTATAATCTCCTCATTTCTTGGCTTTTGTTGATGGAATTCCTAGCATCATCTCAACATTATCATTTCCGTGTTGTCATAAAAACCGATTTTGGCAGACAGTCGTTTGGGCAGAGCTGTTCGTTGCCTTATAATGGCATTAAGTGCGGAACTCGGAGTTGCAACTTAGAACCGTCCTGTTATTCGCGTAAAACCGTTAAGTAAGCAAATGAATAGCATTGAAACAAAGTAAAAAAATGTAACATATTATAGAAAAAAAAATATCTCTAATTTTTAAATTGTTTTATTTTATTTGTTATTATTTGTTGTCTAGTTTTATTTATCAGTTTGATTTTATTCTTATTTTATTCTTCTTCAGGCTGCAGAGTATATTGTGAAGTTTATAGTTCGCTCTAGGCAGCTGGCCGAAAGGTAAATATATATCTTACCATGCACAAGCTGTATTGGATAGTGGATAGTATGTTTGGATAGTAGATGGATAGCGGATAGTGGTTTATTAATTAGTGCTTCTCTTTATTTCTTTTCCATAGCGCGTGCTTTAGATTAAAACGCAAATTTGATGCCACGATTCTAAGTTCACGTGAAGTTTCATTGCATTTCAAACTATTCATTTAAGTTAGAATCAACCCACTTCGAGAGCCGGGTTGACTGATCCCGGGTTGAGCCAGTAGCGGCGCCACGGGGGGGGGGCGGCTGGGGACACGTCCCCCCCAGTTTTCAGCAGATTCGATTTTGTATTTCGTCTTAATTCGATGAGAAAATGTTGGGGGAGGGGGAATATTTTGACATCGTCCTTTTTATGATGCAATCCTTTGATTTTCAAACTGCTAATTTTCAAACAAAAGTTAATCATAGGCGTTCCCTTTGGCTAAAACTAGCGTTCCTTGTTGGTAAAAGGGCATTTTCTGGTGGTTAAAAGGTCACGGCTTAAATTTTTTTGGTTTGTCCCCCCCCCCCAAGAGCTTAGTGGCTGGCGCTGCCATTGGGTTGAGCCTAGGTTAGCTGGCTTTTGGGTAATGGATAATAATTGTGTTCCAACTTTGAAATAAAAATATGCGACCTCTCTGTCTTCTTAGCTGGCTCTGAAAAAGTGAAATTCAAACAGTTTGTAAGAATTTGTTTCTTAGGTTAAGCAAATCTGTTTTAGATCAAGTTTATTCAGCAGAAAGATAAATGATTTGTTTTTTCACCTACAGTTTATTTATCTGCATTCAAGATATAAATATAGCAAATTTGTTTTTCTTATACATCTTTAGGTGGTGTATACGATAAAAAAAGGCATTAGGCAGAATTAAAATTAGGGGTTCTTTTTCACTAACTTCAACCCAATCTAAATAAGTAATTGCTTGCAGGTCTGCTCCTGGCAAAGGAAGGATGGAATTCGAGACATCTTTGAATGGCCTCTTCTCCGCTGTTGTCACGTTGATGGTCAACTCTAGCAACGAAGCTCTTGTTGTCCAGGTAAAACACTATTGTTACTTCATTTGGAGAATTCAATCTTATACTTGGATGGTAATTCTTTCATCGTTCAAGGAACCAATTTTGTAGAATGGAATTTCAAAGTATGTAAGATCAATATAGAGTAGGGAACTCTGAACATATATACCCATAGATTGAAAAATGAATTCATCTGTAAATTAGATATGTACTTCATTGTGTGTATCGAGCTCTTATTTGCTTGAGATATCTGTCTAAACTTTTTCAGATTAATTAAGTTTATTCCTTAAACTTAACTTCAAAATCTTTTTTAAGTTAATGTTGTATGGATGGCAAAACATCTGAAACACAGAGTTTTGGATACTTTATCTTAATCCAGTAATTATGCCTTTGGTATGGAAAATACAACCCGTATTGTCCTTCATACAGGGTTGTGCTCTTAAGTATGTGCCTGCGATGTTCGGTGACCTCCTTGAGGTGTATGACAACATGCAGCTTGGGTGAGTGATTTTATTCTTCCTGACCCTTCTTTTGTTTCATAGTGTCCATTAAAGATATTTTATGGTTTTCTTGTTAATTATTTTTTATCATGTACTTATCCATTTTTTGTAAAATTCTATGGCTATTCTTTTGTTTAATACTTCATATAAGAATTTTAAAGCCCAAATACCCTGAACATGAAAGCTAATAAATAATTTAACTTTGGAAGTTATTGTAGATTACGTAATGTGTTAATTTTTTTTGCATTTTTTTATGTAGCTCAATCATCATGAAACTTTCTCAATCTTCCACCTTTCCGTGTACCATAGTCTATATTTTGTTTTCCGTAGATATTTTGCAAGAGATCTTATTGAGAAGATCAAGCCTGGAAGACTTCAGCTGCAAAAGTTGACTTGTCTCCACCAACTTGTGAAGTCGCCTCTATTTTGCGTTCAAGGTTCAACATTACTTTGTTTTTTTTTTCATCTTCAATCTTGACTTTGCACTTCAATTAACCTTTGTTTTTAACTCTTTAAGTTCTTATTTACTACTGTACATTCTGTGATTAGGGTGTAGACTTCTTAGATATGGCAGTAATTAAAGTTCTAATGTTTCATGTTCCTCAATTTTCAGTGCCTTTCCTTTTATTAGACAGTAGTATTAAAATTGCTTTTAGTAAAGGTTCATTTCTACCAACCTGGAAAAGCTTATAGTAAAGGTTTTTGCCCAAGCAATGATCAATCTTTTTCTGATGTCTTTTATAAGCTCTTCTCCAAATTTGTTAGGCTTTTCTCCCAATGTGTTAGCCGGTCCTGGAGAGTACAGATCCCATGTAATGTGTTATGCAAATGTTTGTAATGTGATTTAGGTTGGAAAGTCTTGTGACCTTGTTTTTCAGACGCAAGAGCAATAATGATGCCAATGGTGATTAATCAATTGACATTGTATCTTGAAAAAATGGAAGATCTACAAATTTGCATCGATATCTTGAATGATTTGCTTGCGACTCTAACGAAACCAGTGGAAGTCGTTGTAAGTAGTTTGTCTCAAACAAAATCAACCTAAATTGTGTGTTTTCTGGATTGACGTTTAGTTTAATCATCGTTATTTTGTCTAATCGTTTTTTGTGTTTGTAAACCTGAAGTTTATCGTAGCTAAAGGGACTCTGGTAACGGTCAATAAATCGTGCTTCTTATTAATACAGGTTTTCCAGGCCTGTAGTTCTACAGATAAAGGCCCTGTAGTTCAACAGTGTGTCAACAACATCGTTTTCAGAGTGGCTACCCTGCCATTAGTTTCAATTGATCAAATGTTCGATACAGATTGCGGAATCTTTACAGAATTTCTTTAATTTGCTCATAAAACTTAACTTTGATGCTTCATGGTGGAAGTACAGATTGATAAAAGATACATTGATTATAATAGAAGGAGAGCTTGCTATTAACAAGTCTGTTGTATGGTACTTGATGCTGCAAGCGCTTTAGTGTGTGGAGCAGGAGGACGTCCGAGTTGCTTCTCCGAAGTTACTACTGAAAGCGATCTTTTAGCACCTAGAAGACTGTTGAAGACTGTTAGTCTATAGTACACGCATAGAGACTGTTAATCTATAGTACAACTAAATTGCAAAACAACGTCCAAACAGACTCTTTTTCTGCCAAACTGGAAAGGGAATAAACGCAAGGAAAGTCAATTGAGCATAAGGGCATGCAAATGGGAAAAATGATGGTGGGGGGGGGGTGGAGGGTATAGTATTGCGAAAGCGAAGACTTTCTTGATAATAAGAGAGTCGTTTCTAGTTGCCTGATGATCGCATGGGACTCGGAGAAACAGCTCACAACAGCACTGTTTTACATGATAAAGTGTTTTACATAGTTTAAAATGTTTTAAAATTGTTACTTTCTCTCTGTAACTTTTAGGGTGAAACAGACCATGATATCACAGCAATAGTCGTTCATTTGTTCAGAAACATCGTTAAGTGTGTTATTCGCATGGAGAGATCTATTGCATTACTGGTATGCCATATCTCGTTTTTGATTATATTTTTGTATGATATCTAGTGCAAAGCTGTGCCCTTTTTCATTATATGCGTCCTTTGCCTCATGTTATGTTAGTAGTATTATCTAAGAGAGTAATAATTGGTTTTAGGGATTACGTTTTGGGTGGATTATGAACTGCCAGTACAGGTCCAGTGGTTGTTTTGAAGATTTGATAAATTTCATTTGATAAACTTAATAATTTAAATCTTTTGTGGTACAAAAATGACTTCATAAGATTATTACCTGAAACCTGCACGAAACCAAAATCGCCTGCAAAATGACAATAAGATTCTGACGTGCTTAATGTCTGCAGCGTCATTCATTGCTTTATCGGTGTTTAAATGTTTGATTAAGAATGTAATTCTATATTTTTCAGGGAAACTACGTCGCTTGTATCATCTGCATTTTAGATGACACGTTCATGAAGGATAAACATTATCAAATTTTCATCGAATCTTTGACAGATAGAGGAGAGCTTCTGGTAAACCTTTTGAAATTTAACCTACATTTTCTGAGGGTCATGAGCCTAAGGGTTATTACCAATTATCTGTCAATCTTTCATTGCAATGTTGGGAAGTTTTTGCCAAATTGTAAGAGAGATGAGAATTATTTTAAATAAACTGTGGTAAGATTGCAAGGGACGTTATTAGGGGATCTCTTTGCAAGAATAGTTTCAAGTATTGGCATTTCGAAAAGTGATATTTTTGTATCACGTTACAGTATTTTACACGAGTAAAGGACAGTATTTCTTGTTAGGAGATGTTTAGCCGAATTTCCTTTCCAAGTGATAAATCTAGCTATTAGATCCTTTTCGAATGTAACTGATATGCCATGCTTTTCATCAAGTGAAGTGTTCTTATTTTTAGGACTGCCTCATTGAGCTTTTCTTAGTGTTCAGGGACTTTATCAGCACTAGCGTTTACCCGCGTGACTGGCTTTCAATGACAATGGTTCAAAACCAGTAAGTGTCTGTTTGACAACATACCTAAAGATTGTATCATTGTATATTGATTGTAAATTGTCTCATGCTGACATTGTAGATGTGTGCCTGGTGTTCTCAGAAACACAGTTCCATACTGATATTGTAAATTTGTGTTTGGTATTCTCAGAAACACTGTTTAATACTGACATTGTATTTGTGTGTTTGGTATTCTCAGAACCCTGTTTCATTCTGATATTGTAGATGTGTGTTTGGTATTCTCAGAAACACTGTTTAATACTGACATTGTATTTGTGTGTTTGGTATTCTCAGAACCCTGTTTCATTCTGATATTGTAGATGTGTGTTTGGTATTCTCAGAAACACTGTTTAATACTGACATTGTATTTGTGTGTTTGGTATTCTCAGAACCCTGTTTCATTCTGATATTGTAGATGTGTGCTTGGTGTTCTCAGAAACACTGTTTCGTACTGACATTGTTTTTGTGTGTTTGGTATTCTCAGAACCCTGTTTCATTCTGACATTGTAGATGTGTGCTTGATATTCTCAGAAACACTGTTTTATACTGATATTGTAATTGTGTGTTTGGTATTCTCAGAAACCCTGTTTCATACTGAAATTGTAATTGTGTGTCTGGTATTCTCAGAAACACTGTTTAATACTGACATTGTATTTGTGTGTTTGGTATTCTCAGAACCCTGTTTCATTCTGATATTGTAGATGTGTGTTTGGTATTCTCAGAAACACTGTTTAATACTGACATTGTATTTGTGTGTTTGGTATTCTCAGAACCCTGTTTCATTCTGATATTGTAGATGTGTGCTTGGTGTTCTCAGAAACACTGTTTCGTACTGACATTGTTTTTGTGTGTTTGGTATTCTCAGAACCCTGTTTCATTCTGACATTGTAGATGTGTGCTTGATATTCTCAGAAACACTGTTTTATACTGATATTGTAATTGTGTGTTCGGTATTCTCAGGAACCCTGTTTCATGCTGAAATTGTAATTGTGTGTCTGGTATTCTCAGAAACACTATTTCGTAATGACATTGTAAATGTGTGTTTGGTATTCTCAGAAACCCTGTTTCATACTGACATTGTAATTGTGTGTTCGGTATTCTCAGGAACCCTGTTTCATGCTGAAATTGTAATTGCGTGTCTGGTATTCTCAGAAACACTGTTTCGTACTGACATTGTTTTTGTGTGTTTGGTATTCTCAGAACCCTGTTTCATTCTGACATTGTAGATGTGTGCTTGATATTCTCAGAAACACTGTTTTATACTGATATTGTAATTGTGTGTTTGGTATTCTCAGAAACCCTGTTTCATACTGAAATTGTAATTGTGTGTCTGGTATTCTCAGAAACACTGTTTAATACTGACATTGTATTTGTGTGTTTGGTATTCTCAGAACCCTGTTTCATTCTGATATTGTAGATGTGTGTTTGGTATTCTCAGAAACACTGTTTAATACTGACATTGTATTTGTGTGTTTGGTATTCTCAGAACCCTGTTTCATTCTGATATTGGTAGATGTGTGCTTGGTGTTCTCAGGGAAACACTAGTTTCGTACTGACTTGTTTGTGTGTTTGGTGATTGCTCAGAACCCTGTTTCATTCTGACATTGTAGATGTGTGCTTGATATTCTCAGAAACACTGTTTTATACTGATATTGTAATTGTGTGTTCGGTATTCTCAGGAACCCTGTTTCATGCTGAAATTGTAATTGTGTGTCTGGTATTCTCAGAAACACTATTTCGTAATGACATTGTAAATGTGTGTTTGGTATTCTCAGAAACCCTGTTTCATACTGACATTGTAATTGTGTGTTCGGTATTCTCAGGAACCCTGTTTCATGCTGAAATTGTAATTGTGTGTCTGGTATTCTCAGAAAAACTATTTCGTAATGACATTGTAGTTGTGTGTCTGGTATTCTCAGAAGCAATGTTTCATACTGACACCACAAATGTGTGCTTTGGTTTCGTATTAATACTGTTTTTTACTGATGCTATAGGTGATGGGCCATTTTGTTCTAACAGCCAATGTTAACAAGAAATTGATGTGTGCTTAATATTTCTATAAATATTGTTTTTTACTGATAGTGATATAATTTTTCATTAGTAACTAGCCTCTTTGACACTGATCATCTCAATCATTTGAAACTGACCATTAGTAGCTGATCATCTCAATGTCTTTCCTTTCGATAATGGCTCATTCCTGTGAATACGAAGTAGCTGATTTACCGTGTAAAACCCGTCAGAAAGGAAACATATCTATAAGTTGGCGAGTAAAGGAATATTTTTTTGCAGTGGGCGTTTCCAGTCTGCACAGCTAGTGGAAGAGATCTAGACTGAAATTAAATCTGTGACATTGTCCTTAAATTTTTAGGGATATCCTGCGTGCAGTTGGCCATTTCTCGAAAGCATTGTACGAAAGGTTTTTAGTGGGAGAAAGCTTTGAACTGCAGGTAAACAATATTCATTCAATTATATTCTCAAAAATTGAAGCAATAAAAGCCTCGCCCATTTACTTTTTCGAGACCATCATTTGAATGTCGACAGCAATTTCTCGTATTGATTTCGCTTTAAATCATTTTACGTTGTATATTGCTCATTTTCCTAAAGAAGTATTGTCTTCTTAGGCGTAGAATTAGTGAAATTTAATTTTATTTCATTAATTGTTGTCGCGCCTGCTCATTTTCTCGTTGCTCCGCCTGCAGTATAATAGTTTTTATGTAAAAAGGTGGAGACACTTGAAAATTTGTCTCGCGACCTTAACTTTTTGATTGACCTTAGCAGAATTGATTTAATCTAGCCCAATGTTTTAAAGAAAGGAATAAAAGCATTTTACAGGCTAGAATTGACGTATAAAACACGCGCCAATTATCAGTATCGTTCATTGTTTCTTGTCAACACCTGTCATAAGAAAATTTTCATGATTTGGGCAAGGCTCCATTGCGAGCGAAATCTGTGATGAGGAAATTGGCAAATGTTCTAATAAATAATTGCAGAAGCGCACAGAAAACTGTGAATGCAGGCCAAATGACTTCCACAGTGTGACATTACGTATAAACATATATTTGAGTAATATTTTACTTTTGAATAGTTTTCCAAAAAGAACACCAAACATAACCGCTACAAGAACAAAAGATAATGTTAAATCTGTTGAAAATTTACTAAAATCATTGAAAGAATTTGCTTTTATTAATAGATAACAGTTGATTTGGCCTGGTTCATTAATTTCAGAATAAGGACCAAATAAAAGTGTTTTGATGACTGTGCTCGTGTGGACTAATTTCTGCCACTTTTAACCTTTAATATTGATTTTGCACAGTTAGAAGTATTCTATAATGGTTTTTCAGGTTGAATGGGCAAAATAAAAAAGCGTATTTTTTCTAAGATTTTTTTTCCTTGACCTCAGGACAACTGTATTTTTGAAAAACCTTTCAACCGAAGACTCTGATAATACTGATCGCCATCAGTTTGTACAAACTTCATTCAATTACAAGTCCCGTGAAGCAAAATGTTGCCGAGGCTAGACAATATTTTTCTTGAGATTAATTTGAGCTTCTATCAAAGTTGCATTAGAAGAAGACTTACAAATTATTTGTTGCTTTTTTAGAACAAATAATATTTATCATAAACTGATTGCAAACAACTGTTGCAAATTTTGTGTCTTCGCAAAGAGAAGCATTCTAATAACAACTTGTAACTATGAGGTTATGTGAATACCAATGATAAATATATTTTTTATAAACCTGTGATTTTATCAGAAGCTCAAAATTTTATGTGTGATTTCTTTTTTCATGAATATGACTAATATTTTGCAGCTTTGGAGCAACTATTTCCAACTGGCCGTTGCTTTCATCACACAAGGATCACTTCAGCTGGAAATGTTCAGTGACATGAAGCGAAACAAGATTCTTGAGAAGTAAACATTTTGTGCACCATCTGATAAAATAGATTGTGAAAGTTTCTTAAGATTTTTCAATCATAAAGAACGATGTTTGGGTTTTGACAGGCCCAAAAAATGGAAGTATAAAATTCTCCAAAAGGTGGAGAAAAATATAACATCTCGTTTCAAATAGCATAATGTCATTGTTTGCGTAGGGGAATAATTTCTTAAGTTTCTTTGGTGTTGTACCAACTTTTAATTAGGTGAATAAGAAACTGACTTCGACTCACTTTCCAAAGATGAATTCGGGCAATGGAGCTTCCGGCTACCCAGGGCCGAAAATTGCTGCTGGTAGGCAGGAGTCAAAACATTTCTCTGAAAAATGTTCTCAGACAGTAGGAAATGCTGCATCACCGAATGCAAAACATAGGACAGGTTGTTACTGAGGCGAGGGGGGAAGGGGGGAAGGGGGGAAATCACCCTACTTTGTTGTGTCTATAGGCCCGGTACCCATATGGCTATCAGCGTAGGAAAGTCGTCAAAAAGAGGTGAACTCTTGCTTTTTAAAAATTTTTGTACATTAAAAGCTAGTTGATGGTATTATCGTCCTCTTTTTAAAGAATTAACTGTCGTAAGGTGATTTAAAAGTTTCTGAGATGACTTTTGGATACTGTATACTAATAATCTTTATCATAATCACTTATATTGCTTATCGATTTCATATCATTTTGAAGGTATCTTGACATGAGATTGATTGTGGGTCAGCAAGTCTATGAAATGTGGCAGTGTCTTGGTTAGTTAAAACTTCACTGATATTGTTATTTTACACGATGTTTCTTTTTTAAAATACCCTGGAGCAACAAAAATGATAATTTATAGATTTTTTTGCCAAAACTTTTCATTTATTCACCAAATTTTCTAATTAAATCGATTTGCAGATTGTACTCTTCAACCAATCTGCCTCCATATAAGAGCTTCTGTTTTTAGTGATAGTTTTAATCGAGAAAGACTAAGTCTTCAAGTTATCTTAGCGCTGGTTTTTATTTCACATGGTATCATTTTACACGTTAAAGAATATTGCTTTAGTAGTGTACACACATCTGCATATCTCATTGAATTATACTTAAACAGTTTTAAAGTTGATGTCAACAACGTTTCCGATTTAATAGGAATGAACAAAGTGAAGCTGATTCCAGGAATTGTCGGGCCGTTCCTAGAAATGACCTTGGTACCGGAAGAAGGTGTGTAGAACATCAGTATATTTACAAGTATTTGATGTTTATGTATACGATGGTTATATAGTAGAGCTAAGTAAGTTTATGTTGTTTTGAGATTGTTTGACAGATTCCAAAATAACCACATGCAGGTGACAGTTGTTGAGTTCTCTAGATAATTTTCTGTCAATACGCTTTTTATCTGCAAAATTATTCAGTTTTTGGGCAAACGAAGAGATTGATATGACTGCGAACTTGAAAAATGGCCCTCCTTAACAAAACTGGTCGTGATAAGAAATTCTCTATTTCATACTTCAAATTATCCAAGTTTGAAGGCCTAAATCACATTTGTACAATCTGATCAGATATGAAATTCCTTTTATTTCAACAGAACTTCGGAAAGCTACTCTTCCAATTTTCTATGATATGATCGAATGTGAATTCAGGAACCGACAGAACTTTCGCCAGGTATGTTTTTGAACTTGTCTTCTTGTAATAATCAAATTTCCATTCTGTTCACCTTATTAAAGAGGCACGAGACACACAAGCTACGTTTAAATGCAAACTTCTATGCTCCTACATATTTTTAATGTTCTCTACAGAATCTTCCAGGGTCTGTTAGAGTCGTTGATACTGCATTTCATTGATCAGAAGGGGCAAGTAACTCCGTCCTTGGCTTATTAAATGCCCTTTATCAGCCTGACGGAATAAGGTTAAATTTGGTACCTGGCACAAATATTTTGCTACATCCATTCAATATTAAAGTTATTTGAGACAATTTTTGAACCCAAAACCCCTTTTTCAAGCACCCTAAAATAATTCCGGTATCCCCATCTATTGTTGCCCTCCATTTCACACCGGCAGCATCATTATTTTTAGGTTGCCACTGAAGTGATAAGCCAACTCGATCTTCTGGTCGAAGGTGGGAAAGGTGATGAGCACTATAAAGAATTGTTCCAAGAAATGTAAGTTTAATTTTTTTCCTTCTAAGAAGTATGTATTGGCGTATGGGATTGGATAGCAATGAAACCTTTGTATAAGGATGGCTCTTCGAGTGCCAGAGGCTCGGAAATTGAGTCTGGAAATAATTGTGTTGACTTTGATGTATATTTCTAAATTTGTGTTTAGTTTCAGTGACCTAACGTCGAGAAGCCTCATTATGGTCTCCAATCCTTGACTTAAGGCAGTCATTGTAAATGTATCAAAAAGCAGTTACTCTTGACAATTAACCTGACTTGTTTTCCAGTCTTGGCGAGCTGTTCCGCAACCAGAAATATATTCCAGAGTTTTCTCGAGTTGGATTAGCATTTGTGGACACGATTTGTCAACTATTGACCAGGCTCCTTGACTACAGAACGGTCACAGAAACTGATGACAACATCAACAACAAAATGAGCTGCACTGTCAATATCTTGGTATGTCCGAGATTTAAATTTACCATCTGATCTCGCGCGTACATCATAAGATCTATTAGCTATTGTCACCTCAAAGGCTAGATTACCGATTTCTAAGGGGCACTGACAACGATCAATTGGAATAAGAGTCAGAGGAAATTAAAGAAAGAGAGCAAATTTTAAAAATATTGCCTAAAAACATAAAATGAGGTTACCGGTTTAATATCATGGTGAAGCTTGTTCTGTAATATTTTTGTTGATGAAATATTACAGCCGCCTTCTTACTGGTTACTGCTTTTTCTAAGAACGTTTTCTTCACTAACTCTTCTCAAAGTAACAGTCCAATTTATGGTTGATAATGCTCATATCTTTCTTGAAATTGCTATTCATTCAATATTTCTTCTACTGTCGACACAATTCGAACTTCTGCTAATTCGAACATTTTGACAATCCCCCAAACAGTTAGAATAACACAGAGTTTTACTGTATTTCCAAACCTTTTATTCTGTGTAGAATGATAGACAAAATTATACAACGATATTCCGTATAATTGATATTTTTTACAATGCTGTTATCCTTTTCGCTGAAATTTACTGTTCTATAATTGTTTGCATGTAACTTGGTCTACAATTTAATTATGGCGTTTTGCTCTTTTGACAGTATTTTTACCAAGGCATCAAACGAGAGGAGATGTATATCAGGTAACAAAAATAAGTGCAAATTTCAATGTTTTAGAATCCTTTATGAGACCAAATTCTGTCATACACTTGTTGTAAATATTGAAAACTATTTATTTGCAAAGAATCTTTTGGTGGTACAAAACTTGAAAATGGCTATGAAAAAAGCAAACTCTTGAGTAAACTAAAGTATTTCGTCTGACACTCTTCAGAGTTCAAAACGTCAGAACATAGATCGAAAATTCTACGCTAGGAAATTTATATACCCAGTTGGGAATCGCAATAGGCCAATCAGAAACGCGAGCACATGAATGTTGAGGTTGCCCCATCAGTGACGCTTGCCTATCAAGAATGATACAGCAATCACTATAAGAAGGCCAAGTTTGTTAGAAACGTTTCTTATTGAAAAATTATTGTATTGCATATGGAAATTGTGCGAAGCAGCATTTTTTGAACTCTTGATTTGCCGATATTGATAGGCATTCTTTGTTTCTTTTTCAAGGTACCTATACAAGTTGTGCGAATTGCACCTGAGCGTTGAGAACTACACCGAGGCAGCATTCACCCTTCTTCTGCATGCTGAACTGTTGTCTGTACGTATTCTCATTTCAAACCTCATGTTAAATGACGTTTTCAGTTGAGCTCTTAGTTTTATGACACTGTCACGATACTACTTCCGATATATTGTTTTAAACAGTGAAATTTGGCTTTAGGACTAACTTGCTAGGAAAAGGACTAAACAGAAAATATCAATTCCACGACTTTTTTGAAATTTCGGAAGTATCTTCGACAGCAATATTAGAAAGCATGGTTAGTTGTTATGAAAACCACGAAATCCTTAAAAAAGAGTTGAGATTTCCCCGCTAAGATGATTTCCACAATGGATTCCCTTAACGATAGGTTCTAATACCTTCTTTTTTCTCGTAACACCCTGTATGATGTCATCCGATTTTCGTCAGATTTATAAGCGCCCGGTGATGACCAGAATCTGAAATTTATCAGCGATTATCAGAGAAACATATATATTGTTGCAATTTATAAAATTAATTAAGCAATCTTTTCTATTGCAGTGGACGGATGATCCATTGTCTGAAACACATCAGGTGAAATACAGAGGATACACGGAAAGACAGTTGAAGGAGAAATTGTACAAGGAAATTATTAACTACTTCGATAAAGGAAAGGTAAGTCGTCCATTAGAATATTATAGCTTTTACATTCGTGCTATTTGGAATGTTTCTGTTAATATAAGAACATTTAAAGCTTACTTGTAGTACCACTTTCGAACAACACAATCCTTTTTACTGCATTATTGATAATTTCTTGTTGTGTTTTTTGTTGTTGATAAAATAGTGATTCATCTTAAGAATACACGGAGGTTGTTTTGATAGTGTAAGATAAACTCAACCACTTCTTATAATTTACTTTGATTCCAATTTTAATTCAATATAATTTACTTTCATTCTAACGAGAACATTTCCCTATTGTTGCCAGTTTTTTTAATACTTAGTATTTATATTGTGCTGTTTCTTTTTTGAACGAGCGATATATTTTTTGAACGAGCGAATGAATGAATGAATGAATAAATAAATGAATGAATGAATGAATGGATGAATGAATGAATGAATGAATGAATGAATGAATGAATGAATGAATGAATGAATGAATGAATGAATGAATGAATGAATGAATGAATGAATGAATGAATGAATGAATATATCAGGGTAATCATCAGCTTAAAAATTTAATTTCCAAATAAGGATGAATTTCAAGTTTAATTTTGGCGTTTAGATGAAGAAATGGAGACTTTCCTAGCTTCTCATGATTCAGTCCCTGTCTATTCATGATTCAAATATTAATCAATTTATGCTTTAATAAATGTTTTTTGCTTTTCTATCTGCTAAAATTGTTTAACAGTTCTTCTAAACTGTATCCCTTGTTAAAGCTTCTTCGACAGATGTAAAGGTTATTCACAGGGTTGTGATTTTTGCATTGGTTTTTTGTAGACTTGGGAGTATGGAATTCGATTGTGCAAAGAGTTGGCCACACAGTACGAAACAGAAACATATGATTATGTGCAACTCAGTGAAATTTTGGTATCAATTTATCCATTCATTTTGTTACATCTACCTTAAAAATTGTTTTTTTTCGTCTAAAACCCCTATGAAAATAGTAGTTGAAACCCTTCTATATGAAAACTCTGTTCTGAAGTGTGCTTTATATTCAAGGGAATATCATAAAGTGCTTTTTCTAGACGGTGGTTTTTTGCCTATTTCGTGCTTGTCCAACGTTCGTTCCATACTGGCACAAATAATTATTTCTCTTAAATGTTTAAACATCATACGGCTGTTCTTCTAGTGCGTTGTAGTCTCTTTTCATTTTAGTCCCCAAAAAGATACATTAATATTTACGACATTTAAAATTCAAGTACTTAACATGACAACCACATGGCAATTAAAATGAGCTCTCTTTAGCTTGTGCAGTGCAGACAACGTTAAGGGGTATCTCAACTTGTGTTTCGCAGGAACGGCAAGCAAAATTTTTCGAGAACATCATCAAAAGCGTCATCAGAGCCGAACCAGAATATTTCAGAGTTGGATTTTTTGGCAAAGGGTTTCCATTGTTCCTTCGCGTAAGTCTGCGGCTGTATTGTTAACCTTGTTGCATTTTTCTGTCAATGACCCTGTTAGTTATATCAACAGACTTTTAGCTGTACACTAAATGACCTCGGAAACAGTTCGTAGGTTTAGGAGGCTATAAGGATATGGCATTTTGGCTTGAAATAAAGAAGAGAGGGTATAAAGTGGCATAAAAGTGACATAAAGGCAGATCTTCGATAGAAAACAAGCCCTAAACCGACGGAGAACATTTTATCTCAAATTTTCTACCAAATTCTCAGATTTAAGACCCCTTCTGTTTGTCTTAAATCGGCGTAGAATATACATTGCAAACTTTCATAACTTTGGTATTTCTTACATAGAACAAAGCCTTCATATACCGTGGTAATGTGTACGAGAGGCTTGGTGATTTCAAGATCAGAATGCAAAGCCAGTTTCCATCAGCACAGGTACCTGTCCATCATTATCGTAACATATTTTAATACAATGCACTCGCGCATTTCATTGCTGTTTCATTGAGCTGACAGTGACGTGTGATCAGATTTTTCTTCGGGCATTGTGTGTTTTTTATGGCTTATTTTTACCTGCGGCCCTGGATTGTCCGGGGTGTCTCGAAAATTCACTTTCTTGTTTTTTATGTGAAAATGCCCATGTTCAAATGTTTTTTAAGGAGGAAAATCCTTTTATTACTGTCACAAGTAACCATTAATTTTAGTTAAATTTTTAGAATTCTTTTGAAGGTTGAAAACATTTCACCTCTATTACTGCATGAAATTGCGGTTTTTAAAACACTTAATGGTCAAAGATTTTCGATGATTGTTGGTAGCATTGGTAGACAGAGGAAGGGGATACTGCTAGATCTAAATCTAAATCTAAATATATATCCAAATCTTAATCTAAATCCAAAGGATTGCAAAAGTTTTGCTTTGAAGATCTTCAAACTAATTATTCAAGTAATTTCTAGTTTTTTTCTTTATCGTTTTCTAGTTTCTATCATCACTTCAACCTCCTGGGAAAGATATTACAGACTCGCCATTCCAGTGTATCCTTTTAACAAATACCAGCTCCACCATCTTGAAATATTTATTTTAGTGCATTATGTTATAGTTTTGTTCGTTCGTAAGAGAAAAATATTCCCAGATTAGCAACTAGTCGAGAAACACTTTTCGATACGAAAACAAAGAGCGGGGTGACATTCCAATTAAATTGCGAAAGGCAATGACGGCAGAAATGTTTGATGTGGACACAGGAAGCAGTACGACTGAAGACAGCATCGGAAGTCCCTTGCTAATGCGAATGACGTGAACATAGGCCTTTAATGCTGACGATCCCTTGAAGTGTCAGAAAGAATTTGGAAGTACTCGACAGCCACCTCATTTTTAAGCCAGCTTGTCTTTTGAACTCTGTCATTATTATTTATTTACCTCAGGTTTTAAAATAGACAAGGGAATGGTGCACATATTCCTTTCCTTGATTTTCCTCTGATCAAGAAACCCAAAACACTGTAGCACATCAGCTCTACAATTGGCTTCGCTCTGACGGTTTAGTTTGCAAATAAGGTTGACTCTATAATATGCATCTCGTGTGTTTATTGAAAGAACAAAGCGAAGCAGAGATTAGATTTTTTCATTGGTTTTTTGTTGGTCTTAACAGTGTTTAAGATTTTCAAGTTTGCCGTGTTGATCCAGTTCCGGTAGAAAGACGAAGATTTAGAGGAAAGGCAGTTGCCGAGCAAATTCGAAAGTATGGTTAACAGCAGTTTCATTTTGTTCATAAAAGTTTTATTTCTTGCCAAAATTTGTTTTTTATTTTTTCAATGGAGCTACTTTTAGCCCTCTATGAGCCATTGTTTGCTTAGGCCCTTTGCACATATCGGGATATCTTTCTGTTTAAGGGAATCTTGTTGACAAACTCTATTTGTTTACTCCGATCAGATTTCATTATTTTAATTCATCGTTAAGAATGAAATGTCATGAAATTTTCAGAGGCAAATCTATATTTTTATGCTATCTGTTCTAAGTAGCATCTTCACAAAATTTAGATTTTGCAAATTGCGTTTGTTGAAAATTAAATTGTTAAATTTTTTTGTTTAAAGGTTCTATGAAGTGAACGATATCACCCAATTTGCCCTCTCGAGGCCTTTCCACAAAGGCAAGAAGGATAAAGATAATGAATTTTCAGTAAGTTCCATATAAAGTTTTAACTCGCTACGGATATCACTATAAAAATACAGTCCGGTGTAGTCTCTGTTTGAAGCAGAGATCGTTCTAGTGTCCTTGGTTTTGAGTGGTTAAATCCCTTATAATATGTAAAACGATTCAGTCTGAGTTGCTATGACTTTTCCTAATTGATCTTTAGCATCGTCTTAGGAAATAGTCGAGACAGAGGTTCTGCATTCTGGTGAAAAGGTTTCTCGAAGCAAAGGCAATACTTAAATCACTACTGATTCTTTCTAGACTCTTTACATCGAAAGAACAACGATGATAACGAAGTTGAGTTTTCCTGGAATTCTCCGCTGGTTTGAAGTGACACATTCGGCACTGGTATTTTCACCTTTTTGAAAAGTTTTCTTAATTTTTGATGGTCTGAAGTCATAAATGTTTTAGAAATGTAGTTAAAGCACAAGGAATGAACCGTACTTAGCTTCTGAAGAGATTCTTTGTGATCTCACTAGATCCGCCATCGGTCCTTGTTTTCTGACCGGGTTGTTTCGTCTTTGCCAACAGACCGAGCTGACCCCAGTTGAAAATGCTCTTGAGACAATGCGTGCGAAGAACAAGGAGATTCAGAGCATGATTGGCAGGTTCAAGGCGGACACAAAGGCCAACTTGAATCCACTGAGTATGTTGCTTAATGGTGTAATTGATGCTGCGGTTATGGGAGGCATATCGAACTACGAGAAGGTAATTTGTCACAGTATCACGGTTGTATGTTAGTTTGTATGGAAACGAAAACTACAGTTAATGCAGACTAGTTGGCTTATGGCTCTGCAATTAAGGAAGGCTTGTATAACACTAGGCTAAAGAAATGGTAGAATAACAGGGGCAACCATGAAAGCAAAAACGGGAGTATTTATTGAAAACAACGAATTTTCCAATTTTCGGTAGCTGAAGTCCCCCCTCCCCTCCCTAAAAACAATAGCAGTTACGGTCCAGAATAACCTTGGCTTTATCAAAACTGTTCAGCTTGCATAAGGAAAGCTTGCTATTGCAGTCAAGCCTTACTTAAAAAAACAGAGCCAAGCTAACGATAAGACATTCAAACATCAGCGCATTTTAGCTAACTTTTGAACGACAGAAGAGGTGAATCAACATACTGGCACCTGTTACCAAGAGCTGATGTTCTTTGGATATCTATATGTTAGGTAAGCAAGTCTGATGTTAGGTAGATCTTCAAGTATTATTATTTTCCCTTTAGGCTTTTTTTAATGAAGACTATGTGACGCAGAATCCGATGCACAGCTCTTTTTTGGATGAGCTGAAAGAACTCATCGTTGATCAGGTATTTCGAAATATGTTAACTTCTAATTTCCGAATACTTATGAACCTTTACAAGTGAACTGACATGATACAAGTGAAAGTGAAGAATAATTACAAGTGAACTGAAATGATAATTTTCTTTACTTTTGTGATGTTGTTTAACAAATACTGCGAATCTGTCAGCTTTTAATTAAATCAGTCCGCCCTTGAAGGCATTCAGTGTATATCACATACTCACAATTATATGCGTTGTTTTATTACACTATTCCTGTTTAGGTCGATCTGCTTGAGCAAGGTTTAGCACTTCACAAGGCTCGTGCACCCGATGAGCTCAAGCCATTCCATGAAAAGATGGAGAAGTGCTTTAAAGATATGAAGACAAAAGTTGCTCCATACAAAAAGCAAGTGGTATGTAATATTCCACATTTTTATTTCTTTACTTTTCTCTCACCCTCTCCTATTCTTCCTACTTTCTCTGTTCCTTCCTTGCTGCGTTCCTTCTTTCTCTCCGTTCCTCTTTTTATTGTATATTTTTGTGTTTATCTATTTATGCATTTTTTAGACTTTGTTTCTGCTGAAATCTTCCCATTTTGTAAATATACTGATACCGTAACATTTAAAAGTATTTAATTATTTAACATAAACAAGATTGTTAACTTTCATTTCTGTTTTTTTTCAGCAACGTGCTAGTGTCTACCGTCCTACAAGTATGATAGTGTTTTCACAGGATGGGAAATTCAAATCAGAAACTGAAGTTAGGTTAGACAACTTTTAACCACTAAGCACCTCTTCTCATAATCATAATATTTATTCTTATGTTATAAGTTATTCAAATTCGCAAATACAGTGGTTTGCGAGTTTTGCTTTAATGTATCTTGCACTATGGACGCAAAAATAATGATAATAATTCTTCTTGCACGCCTCGGTATTAATGGACATGTTATGTGAATGTATAATTTTTACAATTTTAAAAGTATAACATTTATTTGAAGTATAATATATGAGTTTTGATGTTTCAAGTTTTAAGATAGTATATCTGATGCAACATCTAAGGAAATAGTGAGGTTTGTTTTCAGTTTTGTGAAAATGAATGACTTTCTTCCAGCCTATGAATTCAGCTATACTAATGTTTTTTTGCTTCTCAGTGGATCGGATCCACCACCCATCCCTGAAAAACACAAATCACAGTCCCAAGTGCAGATGAGGTCAAGTGCAGTTAATTCTGACAGAAGCAACCGTCATACGACTATAATCGGAGGACAAACTGTACAGCAGATTCTGTCAGGCCAGGACCAAAGTCGTAACCGCAATTCGCTTGTAGCAAGTGCCGAGGTATTGTTTTAATATTAATATATTTATCCGCTTTTTTCATAGATTGTGTTTCCATTATATCGCAAAGGGGTCTTCTGTGCTGCAACAATAAAGCAATTTCAATCACTCTTAGGCTGCCTCAACATGGAGAAGTTAGAATGATTAAGGATGAATGTCAACATTATATTTTGCGTTATTTCATGATTTCCTTTAATAGATGAAGCACTAGCCCTTTCAGATTTGTTCAGTCAATCATACTGTTTATATTTCAGTACGTTGGCAAACCAGTACCCGTTTATCTTCAATAAAGCTGTTGACATTTCAGGAGAATATTAGCAGCAGTCTGAAACTTATGAACGACGAAGTGAAATTTCTATTTTAAAGTGATATGAAAATATTTCAAAAATCAAAGTATTTCTTTGTTTTATTACAAGTAAAGATCAAAGAATTTACAGAAAGTCATTGAGTGTCAAATTTAAATGATATGGGATCTAGTCGTTATTGTTTAGGACATGTTATTATTGGTTTTTTTGCTGAAGAACTTAAGTGATGGGAAGATGGGTTGATGTCACATGTAAATGGAATTTTTCGTTTGAATTATGATTTTTGGAAATCAGTCATAATCTATTTACTAGTTTGTAGTCAAATACGTGGTATGCTAGCTACTGATATTTGATTGTTGTGATTCAATGATCAATCAGTGGCTGGAAAACAACAATCATTGATTAGCTGATTGTTCATTGTATTTCGGTTTCTGTTTAGGCCATACAAGACCTTAATGAAGCATCGCCGAAACTTCGTCCACGGTCATCAAAACCACTCACACCGAGACAAATGGAAAGAATGGAAAGAGACAGTGCCCATGTTGCACCACCCAAGCCGAATCGTGTCACTCAGCCAGCTGTTGGACCAGATGACTCTGCACCACCGCCTATTTTGCCGGTAAAAAAGAAACATGTAAATCAAGAGCAAGCGGAACAACCAGCGCGAAACCCGGTAAATTCTCAGTCTCATCCATTTTGAATGCACATATACGATTTTTTAAGATATATGTGGAATAGATTCATAGAATATGATTTCTTGTTTGTGTTTGAAACCTGTGAAATTTTTAGCAAAGTGCAACGGAAGAGTGTTTCGTCTATAAGTATATATACAAAAGTTTAACAATTTTTGAAAAAGGTTGAGGCTATCGAAGAAACATTATATGCCCTTTTTGTGAAGTGTCCGTTATTGGGAGATGTCTGCTGTTGCCACTTGTCCGTTGTTAGTAGTTGTCCGTTTTTGGCAGATGTTCGTTAAAGTATGTTTCTCTGTACATCGATTTTGTACCTATTTCCCCCTTATTGCTTGAATGTAACTTAGTTCAAGCTTGATTTATAAACTCATGATGACATATTCGCTATCCTTTTATTTCGATGCTATGCTGTCATATTTTATCATTTTCGCATTATATAATTGCCCTATCTGTTACATTCACTTTGTTTTTTGCAGGAAGACGAGTCAGCCCCTCCAATACCGCCGAGACAAAAGTAGAAAAAACCAGGACAACAACAATTGGAAACTCTGTTGGGTAGCTTTACAATGTTCGCATCAATTTTGTATTGAATTTTTTTATACCCCGATTTTCTATTGGCGATTTTCATTGCTGTGTTTATATTATCACCATCATCTGTCAGCTGCACACGACGCATAGCCAGTGACCTGTATCGTAAAATGTACTGTCTATTGCTGCTTTTATCTTGTAGTTGTTTCCTCAGGATTTATAAAGGGAAAGCCATTCTATAGATCATTTCTCCCAGGCATTTAAGTTTGCAAGTTAACGGTGAGAAAATTTCCTCTTTAATTTCTTCACTAGATAAGATGATAAATCTGACCATAATTACTGCAATACAAGCTCTCTAGCTCTTAAAGAAATTGATATCCTTGATTCCAGCCCTTTTGTCCACTACTTCTTTAAGTTTTTCTGGGTTGTTCTTGCTTAAACTGCGGCAGCTCTGTGGGCCTATTCTCTCCCATTTTCTAGCGAACAAGTAAAAATGCCAATTTGTCCAAAATATGCCATTTAAAAAGGGCCTATTTGTTTTCTTTCAAAAAAAATTTGTTCAAGGATCCTATTCAACATGATATTTAAAATCGCTAATCATTTAACAGTTATCAGCTGACGGGGTGCCTGAAACGAAAGCAGGCGTGGTATGAGCCTTAAGTATGGTCAGCTCGTCTAGAGCATCCCACCCCCAACAACTCCAAAACGTGCTCTGGCCACCCTGCAAATATATCATAATCATTCCCAAGTCCTTACAATGCTCAACTTTTGTTGACATAACCAATTTTTAAATTGGCACGCACAAATACATCAACCTAGTTTATGTCATGGTAAATATTACGGCTGATCTGTTTGGCGTGCATTTCTTTGACAGGAATGACAACTAGAAAGGTAGGCAAAGTAGACGTTTTAGTGAGCTAGATTTCTTTGCATAAAACAGAACGAATCTGTATCCGAAACATAAAGAAGTCAATGGATTTCTAATTTCAATTCTGATGCTTGTCAACAGGCATTTGTTACTGTTAATCACCATACACTTCCTGGAGATTGGGTTTTGAAATGAGTTCCATAAAGAAAATGTGAAGCAAAGCGTAATACTCAAGTACTGGTGACAGATTCTATTCTACATAGTTATCTACAAATAAAATGACAATCAAATTTAATAGCTTTATACAGCGAAATTCATTATATATACATAGTATCCCATTACAGTGGAGGTGTAATTCTTTTCAAGCTGGAAATGTGCGTCGAATATTTATCAAAATAACGAGGAATCTCGTTTTCTGAAATCGGTGAATGGTTTTCAGTTTCCGATGAAATAAATCGCGGAACCGTGGCCCATGATGATGGAACGCGCCTTGCGAAGGGCTGTCGATATAGTATTGGTACGGGAACGATTTTCTGTCGAAGCGAACCCGTATTTGCTTGCGCTACCGCGTACGACATATTAGAGAATTCCAGTTCAGTTGCCAGTTGCCGCTTCCATTTGTTGCGGCGATTTTGAAACCAAATTTTTACTTGTGTTTCGCTCAGTTTCAATGAACTTGCGAGAGATGCCCTTTCGGACGACGAAAGATAACGTTTCAGTTCGAAAGCTGATTCCAGCTGATACACTTGTCGTCGGGAAAATACTGTTCGCGTCTTCTTTCGTTTCTCGGAGCAATGGTTTTGGCGATCGAATTCTTTCGTCGACAGAATCGTGTCCTTAGCTTCTTTTTGGGGGCTTGAGAATGAAACCAGCGGAGCTTTTTCTGGATGCCAGTCTAGAATCGTGATAAAGATTTGTTTTCATCAATTTTTTGCTAGCTCATGTAAAATCTATAGCTGTTTAAACCCTCAGCTTTTCACATGAATGACTCGTTGTGTCATGAATGTTCAAAGGGGCAGATACAGCTAGCTTTTGTTAAAAAAACAGAGAGTGTTACTTTGGTAAAACGCCTTGTGTTTAGGAAATCAAACCTCAACCCCTCTTAGTACAAGACCCAGAAACAGTTCGGCTCCTCTATGCGGGGGTTTAATCATGTAAAATCTACGTAACATGTGGTTTTCCTCTTCATCAAACATTTCCATTATTTTCTATCTTTTCTAAATGCCATATAGACAGATTCATCTGAATAGTTTTTCACTACAAATAGGACAGCGTTTGTATTACACTATAAATAACTTTTGTCATAAAATGCGACTTATTTCATTATTCAAAATGTACAAAAATGCAATACCGAAATATGTTATAATCGTTGCCATGGTAAGAAAAGTTTCTTTGCAAGAAGGTACCATATCTATGAAAAGCTGATTGATTTGAAAATACATACCTTCGAGATTTCCTGTTTCCTTTTCAAACTTTAGTTTGTCAGCTATCCATGGCAGCCAGTTAGGGTACATCTGAGATGTTATATTGTATTGCACAGGGTACTTCCATTCCACTTGTTCGTGATCCATCTCTCGATCAACACTGCTTTTCAGTACCATATATCTGTCTCTTTTGACCACCTCTTCTTTAACGTCTTCTGCCCATGCTTTTGGCTGACGTTCTTTGCTTATCTCTTCTGTGTTTTTTATAAATTCTTCCCTGCCAAGAATGTCTGAGATGCGAAATGATTTTAAAGGCTTGCACTTGATATCGCTCATGTTTGCAGTGTATAAAACACGATCCGCCACTCAGTCTAATCGAAACACCTGTACTGCGCAGCTTGCACGTCAGAATGACTAGTTCGCAGTTTGTTGGAGTATTTCAATGGGTCTCCATTGCACTCATTTCAATGCCTTCGGCACGCCCTCTATCCGTAAGACATAGAGAGAGACTCGTTAACACCAAAGTAATATTGGCCATTTGTTATGAGCAAGCTCCTTGCTAATAGAGCAATTGTTTAATCATTCTTATCTCATCAAGGGAATATCGTTTTTCAAACCATTAAACTTTGGCGTTAATGACAGTCACCATAAGTTGTTGTAAACACATAAGGCAAATTACAAATTGATTAATGGATATCACATCTTTAAGAGCGAAGGGAAACAAGGTGCAATTAAGAACCCTTTCGATAATGATATTCACCTCAGGAAAAATCTCAGAGGAAACAGAACAATTTATGTTGGAAATATTTCGTCATTTTCAAAGTTTTGTATAGCAAATATTTTGAAGCCTTTCATTTACGAAATAATGCCACAGGGAGATTCTTATCTTTCCTATCGATATCTCCTTCTAACAGAGGCGAGGCGCTTTGCAAAGAACAAGGAGCCTAAGTCTGACTGAGCCACTTTTGGCATTTTAAAGGGGGTTGGGCCTGAAGAGCCCCCCAAAGCCGAGAGGCAAATCTCTCCATGAAAATCTCGTACACCTTTGGTGGAAATCCTTTCGTTTTATCTGAAAAATCCTGGATATCCTTATGTTCTTGTCGAAATCTCGTACGCTGTATGCAAGAGTGAATTGCCCCTCGCCCAAAGCCACCTATTATTCCACCCTTCTCTACCTAAGCATTGTCTTATTCAGCCGTTTTCCTTGCTTTCAAGGCAGCATCTAAGATGCTCGTTCTAGAAAATCAGGACGCCATGATTGTAGAAACTGTCACAAAATGGAAACCGTGCTATGTTACATGTTTGTATAATTGCTCTGTACATCGGCATTGACTTCGCCAGGACAATAGGACTACTGACTACATAGACCTTTAGGGCCGCGCCTTTAGACAGTGCGGCACCCATCGTATTTCTCGCTATCCACTGGCTTGAGAGTGTGACTACCTGACTTTGTTAAGGGGGGGGGGGGAAGGCGGGGGGCAGATGCAGCTAAATTTTGAAATCTCAAGAGTAAATGGATAGCATCTAATAACTGCCAAATGTGAAAACGACGTATGTTATGAAATGGCTGAGAAATCTACTTATCTCGGTGTTAACGAGCATTGGCTCAGAGGTAATACTGGAATGCTAGAAATAATGGGAAAACGAATCAAAAGCTCATTGAAGAATTCAAAGGCACCCCAAAGTGATAATGACGTCCGCTTGAATTCGATCTGCGTGTTCAATTGGTCTCGTGGAAGCCAAACACTTGTAAACAGACGTTGTTCGCTAAACAAAACAATAAACGACAAATTACCATTCATTAATTTTCGATTAGTTTTTATTTCTTTTGTACTGTTTTGGACATATGTTATTTGCCGGGATAACAGTGGTATGCTGGATCAAGAAAGGCTTCTTGATATATACCTGGAGGAGGCGAGAAGATAATGATTTAACGATATGATGAACATCTTGAAAGATCCTAAAAGGAAATTAATTCATTATTTTGTCGGATATTTCATTACGATAAAGTGTGATTGCGGATGGGGATATGTTGTGAGGAGTAGTATGCCCAAAGTGTCTAGGTCCCATTTGCATCCTTTATTTGCCGAAAAACATGTAAAATTCGCCGACGCAGAACACGCAGATAGCTAAAAACTCGTCATTTTTGAAACAGAGTTTCTTTTCAAAGGAGCTAGGCCTGCTTTAGTAAATTCTAGGGAAACAAGAGCATCTAAAACATGTTGACATCACTGGTAAAAGCAGTGACGGAAATCATTAGAGGTTGTTGTGCAACTAATCTCAAAATTACCTTGAAAATCAGAAAATTGAGTATAGAGGCGTAAGTAGCTAAAGAAAGATACTCGTTAAGTTCATTGTCTTGCCCCGCTACTCAAAAAGCTCCATTTTCTAGGTTATGTGGTACCCGAGCTATTTGTTTTTCAAATGTAGGTAGCATGGCCCTATTGGGTGTGATGTAAAGGTGCCTATGGGGCTGAATCGTATGCCAAATAGAAGCATATCATATTTTTAGGTATTGAAAAACTGCATGACATCCTCCCTTTTATTTTCATATCGCTACCCCACTGCATGCCTCTGCTCCCAAATCATGACCACAACCTCCGCCCTCCAACCCAGAAAACCATTTATGTAAAGCAGTCAAGGCTAGTTCTTAATGTAGAAAGTAATACTCTAATAAAATTGAGCAGAACTCGACTTTCTTTCTGGTCTGTTTTTTTGCAATGGCAAGCAAACACGGCCAATATGGTCTCAGATGGCGGAAAAATAAATTCACCTCAACAAAGGAGATGCACTAATTTATTGTTTCCTCGGCAATGATTAGCGTTGGAATTTCCAAGATTACTTGTCTGCGATTTTGAATTGATTACGGCAATCGTAATCTATTTGATTGCCTTATAATTTGTATTGAAGTACAGACAGCCTACTTAGCGCGTTACAAAGCCGCCCGTTAACGATCCATTAGTCAGTATCACGTGACGTCTTGTCGCTTAATCCCAGTTTCGATCTTGTTTCGGAGAGCTGCCAGCTAGGCCACCCATTATTGCTTGCTCTAATTAACGTACTTGCAAAATTATACGATTCTATCTTATTAACATCAAATAAGCTAAATTTCATGATGCAGAAGGATTTAATATTCACTCTTTTCTGGACAAATTTGGTTAGATTTTTTAAAAGAAATATTGCTTTGGCATTGTGGATATTTTCGACTACCAAAAGACATCAAATTTCTTTATAGGCACATTAAACGCGTAGACTTAACGAAAAAAGAGGATATTTGAATTCTTTTAACAAACGAACCCATAATATTCAATTTAGCTGCATTGATCATCAAAAGAGTTTTGCGAGGCTACTTATGAAAGTGTTCTCTTAAAAACTGTAGCAAATAAACGTCATTCGTATTTGCTGGATTAACAACGTGTCAAAAACTCCTTCTTTTGTCTTCCTGGACAATTTAATGACTTTTTATGGCTTATTTTTGTGGATACAATATTCTCAGAATTTAGGGACGAGGATCGTTATTTTATTACTATTTATAACTGGAACAATCTTATTAAACTGCACCTTTGATGGTGAAGCGTGGGGAGTAGTCGAAATTGTCAATGTTCTTTATAACTTAATTGTAAATACAGTGTTTAATGTAGACGTTTTCTAATAGAAGTACAATGTTTTGCTGTATGAATGTGTAATAAGTTTCCCCTTTATGGAAAAGGGTGTATGTTCCATTTCTCTGCAAAAACGAAGTAAAGTCTCTTCGAAAAAGTAATAAGAATTAAGGAAATTGGTAGATGAGTTTCAAAATCGTACGGAATCTACTGATATGTCGGATTGTTTGAAGAGCTATGGGCAGGATGTTGTAGCAGATATTGACAGGAAACCGAGATCAAAGTCGGTTGCAAAAGACGAGGCTTCAAAGCGCACATCCATCACAAAGTGACAATATTCATCAAGTGGACATTGAAACTAAAAGAAAGTATGCAATTATCTTCAGGTAGTAATGTTCAAATTCAAAGCCAGGAATGCATGACTTCTTTGAGAATTCTTTGGCATTTTTTAGAAATGTTGAAAACAGGCAATAGTATTCAAAATTTGCGTCTTTCAGCATTACTGTCTTTGAATATGTTTCTGCAATTAGTGGACAAATAGGGTTTAAAGTTCGAAGGGCAGAGGGTGAAGGTGAATAATGAGAGGTCAGATCAAGGGCCAACGTGACACGTACGCCAGAGATTGATGAAACATTCTGCAAAGTATACAAGTCATCAGAGACTGTTGTTGAGAAAAGTCGGGAGATAAGAGAGGAGGTCTAAAAAAGTGGGGAGAGGTTAAAGCCATAAAAGTCATCAAAGGCAAAAAACTACATCTTGCAAAAAAAGGCAAAGAGCCCATAAACCCCAAAATGTCTATTATTAATGTAAAATTTGCAATGTTTAAATGGGGATCAAACGAAAAATAAGTATAATGATGCCACGATTTTTGTTTGTATTGCAAATTGCAAAGAATTTGTTTGTTTTGCAAATTAAGCTTTATTAGTTAAGGGTTTTTTATTAGGAATTTGGAGTGCTTATTTTGTATAGCTTTTGCTGCAGGAAATTTTTGTTAGGTTTTTTTATTTGTAACGGTAGTTTGTTTCAAATCTTGACGCCATTAAAACCACGTTTTTTAAATCATTTGCACCATCTTCCTGAGCTATCAGTGGTCATACACTCATTACAACAAGGCTTGTGAAGTGTTTTTTTATCTTTTAGTTTCATAAAAGAGTAAGTGTCTAAATATTTGGGGGTTGTTTAGAATGAGCTGTTTTCAGTATTCTTTTGTTGACCGACTAATAGAAAGTTTTGCTATATATTGCAGGCTCCTACGTTGAAGATAGAGAAGATAAAGGCAAGTGTTTTTTCTATTCCCTCCCATTAGATTTATCAGTAGCGTATGATTGTCCGTGTTATTTGTCAGGGTAAGATGTCTAGTGACGGGAAAATACTTTGTTAAAAATTCCGAAGTTCTGAGTCAACTATACTAATATCCTAAGATTGGAGGTTATCAACGAGCAGATAACAATCTGACTTTGTTCCTGTAAAAGGCATTTGGTCGTTCTTTTCGACAGGTCTACCACCATTTTCAATGCATTGATTGATCCCTTTGATCAATAGGCAGTCCATTCAGATTGGATAATTTAAAATCAATTTGTCAAATTGTTTTCTTGCAATAAACGCTGAGTAAATCACTTAGCATTTGGCTCCATTGTGCAGTAAACCTTTGATTTTCAAGAGCAGTTGGGTACATCTGTTTTTAGTCGCTTTGTTTAAAATTTGCAGTTGTTTGGTCCATGTGTAAACAAGTATTATACAAAAAGATCAACTAGCGATATGTACACTTCGCTGGAAAACAGCATGGCACCTAGGCCAGCGGCTAGGTTCGTTGAAGAAGTTTCATGTTTCGCCATCATCGCAAGGGCAATTATCAGACAGCTAGTTAACAAGAAATAAAATTCAAAACACAGTACATCGCACAGCAAGCTGATTTCTGCTTTGAATACACCAACTCACGGCCCCGCCATTGAAACAACCTCAAATTTCATTGTACGACTTTTTTGAGCTTAGATTTGGTTTTGTCCTCATATTTTTCGGTCATATGCAATTTTTCATATTGTTTGTGCTTGTAATTTAGATTATTCAGAGAAATGAAGTTTGAAAACTTGAAGGGATTTGACTGCAAAAATCGTTCTTTATGAAACCATACCACCTAGTCACCAATCACGGTTAAATCCTTCATAAGAGGGATTACACTCTTTTTATAAGAATAATTTTGTAAGAACATGAGCCTCAAAACTGGTCAAAAGTTAAGAACAAATTAAGACCAAGCTGAGGCTGACCTTCTGCAAAATGCAATTTTGAACAACGTTTTATCTCAAAATCGAGGGTTTTTAGCGATGTGTGGGTGCTTTTTCGGTGAATATTCAAATTTGTCAGCAATTTGTTGGCAAATGAGGCCTGAACACCTCCTTAGAGCGAAAAAGCTAGCAATAGCACTGCTTACACCCTCTTAATTTAAGAACAAATTAAGAACAATCCAGCCTCAGATTTTCGAAAAGATTAAGAACACTCAGCCTGAATTTAAATTTACTGGTTCTTATAAAAAAAGTGTATTTCGTCATAAAATCAATATCACGAGTCATAAATAAAATTCTTGCTCTTAATCTGAGTTTGATTTCGTAAAAACAAATTGAATAAGCAAAATTGAAGAATTTTTCAAAATGAGGCTGTAAATTGCATTGGTTATAGCAGAATATGACATCATCCTCTTATCTATCTTGAGCCTGAAAGATAACAAAGATACAATCACTTAACACTTTGCAATGCGTTGTCCTCTCGTCATTGGCAATCTTGCTAATTTTTCTCTTATTTTATACACGGGGGCCAACTTATCCCAGTACTATCAATGCGTGGGTCTTGCAAAGCGTTGCATTTAGAAGCATCCAAAAGGGTAGTTTTGAGCATTGCTTTCATTTTCACTTTATAGAATTTGAGAACATTGCGTCATTCGTAATTGCAAAACAGTCAGCAATTGTTACTTTTCGTTGTGATTCATTTTGGAGTATCCAATATCCACTTTTAAACAATAGTAAACAATGCCCTTTTTTGTATTATTTATTTAAAGATGATGCAATTTTGCTTAAAATGTTTAGCTTAGTAACTGTTTGAAACCAGCTAATAAATTTATATGTTCATATCAAGGGAATCCGAAGAGTTATGTTGTCGACAAATGATGATGAAGAGGCATTGATTGATGGCAAATGTGGATACTTCTGAATTGAAGAAAAAATTTGAGCATCAATTAGGTTGATTTAGCTTGATGACCAGCCATATTCGTGATTATGACCCTTGACCTTCTAAGACATTTTCGTTGCTCAAATTAGAGCGCAAAAAATACAATGTGAAGTAATGAAAGTATGGTGATCAGAATACAGTAAACAAAACAAAGTTGGGAAGATCAGGTACTCGTGTAAAATCCACTGTACTTTCTACATAGGAGCTATGTTTACTGGGTAGTCCGGAAACACAGACCGACCTTTCAGCCTAGAAAGCTACGACTTATGAACATCATGGTACTCGAGCAGCTGGTTGTTATTGATTCGTATCAAGAAGTATCGACTATATATGCATGAATAATATGACATCTTGTCTTGGCAGCAATCGTATATTATTGACGGTAAGTGTTACTTGAAACAAACACGGACATAAAGTGTGTTACGTTATCATTACAAAATGATACAGGGAGAATGTTTTATAAAATTTGAATCTTGTTACTAACAAACAATGCAAACACTTGCTAATGGAAGCCTTGCTAGTAATCCACGATGGCGTACATGAAAATCATATATTCACTGATTTTGCCGGTGCCTCGATTCAAATTTCCTCAATCGTGAAGCTCTGTGTAGGGCAGATCTACCTGTTTCACTGGGCCTAGGCATCGTATCATCGTTTTGTTGTATTTTGAAGAAAAATTGTATGCCCAAAATCCTTCCTATGAATATGCGGCAAAAAACAATTTACGGAGACTAAGATACATACTGAAATTTGCCTTGGCATACATTTGCTTTTGATGACATTTTTACCAACCACTAACAAGGTCACTGCGAGAAAGAATTGATGTTGAAATCAACAGGAGTAAAGGTTTTTGATTCAACCCCAAAGAAGGTATGTTTTGCAGTTTCATTTTTTTGAAATATTTCTTAAAATAATATGTAGAGAGCTATTGTAACATTTTTTATAAAGGAGGATCAGCTACTGCTTTCAATCTCTAATGTCTGGGACGTGAGTTTCTTTGAAAAAGCAAAAGGCTATTCGACTAAAGATTCTGATCATTGTCAAGGAACAAAAGTTTGAATTTTTCAACTATGCTGTTTACCCTTCCTTAAGTGTTTCTACATAACTAACACTGAACTTTTTGAAAATTGGGACTAACAATCCAATAACTAACTTTTGTATTTAAAAATGCAAGCATCGTGTATCTTTGTTTCAAATAGAGATTCTTTGAATTTTACGATCAAAATCTCACCATCATTCCGATCAAATTCTGGTTAGTTTGTAGAATCATTTGCCTTCTAGACAGTATTTGCAGTAGTGATCATACCAAATAGAGTAACAGACGCATGGTCTTTATTTTCAAGTCTAAAGGAGTTCGTTTGCTCATCTGAAGGGAATTTTTCAAAGCTTCTTCATGGCGGATGGAACTCGGATGAAGATGGCACTATAGTGCTATTTCATGAACTCGATAGGGTGACCATCCTTAGTAACGTCCTCTTTTGACTGCATAAAAGGAAATCTGTGTTTATAAAGTGAAAAATGGACATGCGCTTCATTTAAGGCCAACTTTTTGTTCCTGGTCAATGTTTACAAGAGAACTATTAAATTAAGACGTATTGATATAGGATCTGGCCACCAGCTCTTTCAAGTCACAATTTTTTGTCAATTCTTTGCTCAAGTGCCTCTTTTACAATCAAAGTGCTCCTTTTTTATTTTTCTGTCATACAAAATGATGCCCTTTTCGTACATGTTTCTACGCCACAAGAGGATTCCAGAAAATAGTTTTGCTTTGTTTTTGAAAACATTGCAGACAGTGATAGTGGCTTGAAAGAGACGAGTTTTAGCAAGACGATTGGATAATCACTGCCATCAAGCTTGGTCTAAAGACTTTTGCGGCCAACCGTATGCTCAAACAGATTTGTATTTTAACCAATTGATATAGAAGAAAGGTCTTATTTAATGCTTTCTTTCGTAGATGGGGGCACAAACGGACACAGAAAAGGGGAAACATGCCCAGGTACAATACGACGAGAAAGAAGTTGGATTCCCAAAGAGATACATTCTTGCCTTGATGATATTTTTGGGTTTCTGTGTTTTGTATGCTTTAAGAGTAAATTTAAACGTGGCCATCGGAGCAATGTGCAACAACCATACAATTTATGTCAATGGGTTTTATGTTAAAAAGGTAAGATACTTCTTCTAAGATTTTCGCTAAAAACGGCCCTCGTCATCACGTTGTGTTGCCGTATGATAGCCTTGCTTACAATTTTGTTCGATTTTGATTAGTTAACATTCTATATTTATGTATATATTGTTAGCTATTGCTTTTATATCGAATTAAAATGAATTCACAACAACAACAACAAGGAAGAGTTCGATTGACGATGATACTACAAGAAAACCATGTCAAGATTTCAAATCTCCGTGAACGAAGATATGTAAATTCTCTTTTAACAATTTTGTTTATCTGTATTGCAGGTTGCTGAATTTAACTGGGACTCGAAGCTTCAAGGTATCGAATAATGATTTTTTCGAATGAACATTCAGTTTCAATTAGATTCTCTGAACATTTTCTTTGCTCGTGTCAAAATGTTAATGATTTCTATCTTATATTAAACTTCTGTTACTGTTTCTTGTTTTGCTGTTTCTTAGGTGCTGTTCTCGGTTCATTCTACTATGGGTACATTGTCTTGCAAATTCCTGGTGGTTATTTGGCTCTCAAATTCGGTGGTACGAGAATTTTTGGCCTGGCACTTTTTATGGCATCAGTGCTTACTCTATTGACCCCACTTGCTGCAAGGACAAGTGTATACGCATTGATTGTGCTGCGTGTGCTCGAAGGCATTGTGCTGGTAAGATTGATAGTTCTAGAAGTGATATTATACTCAAGGGTGGGTTGGGGGTACTTGTTCCCGTGTTCCCTTTGAGAAAAACAACCAATGTTTCCGTGTTCCCGTTGAAAAATAGAAAAATGCTCCCTTCTTCCTTTAAACTAATAATAATGTTCCCATTATCCTAGAGGAAAATTTAAGTTGTTCCCGCTTTCCTGTACCACTTTTTGCCATGTACCCTTGTTCCCGAAAACCCCTAGGAGACCCTCTCAAGTCAGCAATATGGGCATACTACTATTACTTATGCTAAAATTATTTGAAACTTTGCTTCTAAACTTATGCTATCATTTATTGATACTGCGCTACTTTTACTCATGTTACTTTTAATTTATGCTGCAAATCACTTTTTCTCCACCTTGTTTTTTCTTTTTACTATGGAGAAGAGGTATAACAAAACGGTGACTTGTTTCCACTTACGCATTGAAATTCTATGTAACCACTTGCTTGTAATGCTTACCTTATTTTCATCTGAATCAACTACTCTCTGCAAGATGCACCTCAGTTGCGATGCGAGCAAGTCTGAATTAAGATAATATAAAGGAAATTGAATCCTAAAAGCTGCAGACCCAAAAAGAAATCCAACACTCGAGAGTTCTAGTCCATATTAAAATCAAATTTATCCTTTCAACGTTAACAATTTGAACACATAGAAATACGGAGGCAGCATAAGCAACATTTGATGATCGTACTTTATATAACCGTGAAACGTTATCTGGTTAAATTTTTATACATTTCTCAACTGGTCCATGAATCTATGTTTAGACGATATTTACGATTTCAGAATTTTAATGCAAACAAAAGCATTATTCTTTGCAATGTTTAAAAAGTCATATATAACATACGCACGAAGTCAAAATCTTGAGTTAATGCTTCATACATTGCTTTGAAACCTAAATTAAACATGTTCTTTTATGCTTGCAGGGAGTGCTGTTTCCTTGCAACCATGCTATATGGGGTAAATGGGCACCACCTTTGGAGAGATCACGATTGTTCTCAATCACAGCTGCTGGTATGTTCAACGTTTCTGTAGTTCTTTATTTCTTTGCTTTGACAGTGTCATAATGTCTAGTATGAATCAAGCTGATATCTCAAATTGGATCGTGCACTATTGGGCTTTTAGAATCAGATTCATCAAAAGCGAAGTTAGATAGACAGAAAAGCCTTTAGATACAAAAGTAGTGGAAAGGTATTGGAAGGAGCAGGAGCAAAAAGACTTTTATTTGCTGGTCATATGCTCATGTTTTTCTGATAGGCCTATTTCTATCTACAGCTGTGTATATATGTTCAAGTTTGATCGTTTCAATCCTGATTCTGGTGTTTTCTACTCCGAGGAAAGCCAGACGCAAGGCTTTAGTGTGTTAAAAAAGATTTTTTTCAAAGGCATTTATCTGCTTGTTGAAATCAATCTAAGATATTTCCAATATCAATGCTGCCTAGCAGGAATGATCCAAAAAGTAAAACTGCTTTTAACAAGAATACTTTTGTGATGCCTCTTCTACTTTCCGGAAATTTCTGTAGCAGGTCTTCACAGCCAGTTTTTACTTATCTTGTGTAATTATTCAACTTGAGCAAAAATGTAGAACCAAAAAGTATGGCATAGGTGTTAAATGAAGAGTCATCGATGCAAATAATGTACATCGTCTTTTGAAGTTAATAGAGGATAATTCACAATTATATTACAACAATTTCCATTTGATTTCAGGATGTCCCGTTGGGACCATTCTCACTATGCCCCTCACTGGATTATTGACCAAATATGGATTTGATGGGGGCTGGGCATCAGTCTTCTACGTCTTTGGTGAGTTACAATAGTTTCTCGTTTGATTTGCCTGAAAATAGATTTGCTGATGAAAGATTGTCCGTTAATTCCAATTTCGAAATCATTAAAGCGCCCTTAAAATAAATACTGTACTAGGATTTGGCATATTTGTTGTAGAGTTAAGCCCCAGTCGTCATTGCAAAACTTGCTCAGCTCTGCTCAGCAAAGGGTGGTCAAACGAACTGAACACTGCACCCAACAATTCTATTGACAAAGAATAATTAATGTGAGTGCCTCTTTAATGAGAAATGAAAATTTCGGGGCAAAACATTACAAATTTAAAGTCTGTCAAAATGGCAAGGTTTCTTGACACAATTTAACGGATTTAGTGAGCACAATGTCAACAAAAACTCTCAAGGTATTCTTGGCGCGAAACTTGAATGCACTGCCCGAGCTAGGTATGCGAGTTTAGCAAAGTTCAGTTGGTTGGTTGGCAAATTTAGCAACGACCTGAGCATCGCTCAACAACACCTCGAACAAAGAAATGTTTAATGACTCTCTCAACATCTTTGATCGCCGTCAAACATCGTTGAGCAGTACTGAGTAGGACTAAGCAAATCTGAGCAAGTGGACAAATTGACTGAGCGTTTCACTGAGCAAGGATGTTGTACGTTGCTCAGTGAAATGTTCAGTTCGTTTGACCGAGACTTTACGCCAATTTTTGGGTTCTTTTGTCTTTTGTATCTACTTGTTGTTAGAACTTTATGTTGAATGGCCGCATAGTAGACACAGCCTTGTGCTCCTTGCGGTATCGTAAAGTATTTTTGTAAGTAATGAAACTATTGATATGTAATTGTAATTTATTATTTGATGGTATATAAAAAGTGAGTTTAACTACGGTACTTAATAAAGGCGCTGTTGGTCTTCTTTGGTTCTTCGTTTGGTGTCTCGCGATTCACCCGACTCCGACACAGCACCCTACGATTTCCGGATCTGAACGAGAATACATCGAAAAGAGCATCGCTGACGTGAAGGGGGACAAAGTAAGCAATTTAAAGTCTACTGTTACATTTAATGAAACTTAAGAATACAAACTTACTGTTAAATTATTTTGAGGTATTTTATTGACAATTGAACAATCTACTGTCTAAGTTTATTATCGGTCAAAACAGATCTTTTATTCTAATACAGGAACGCAAAAAGAACCAAATCTGTTCTAAACTTAGCAATCTGCTTTCTTAAATATGCAGTGACTCGGTCTTATACACGGTAACGTTAATTATTGTCAATGCTGGAGAAAAGGCTCTAGCTAGCCAGCCTCGGGGGTAGGGGAAGGGGGTTACGAAGCCTAATTTTGGACGGGGACGTGCCATTTTGGTTAAAAAATTTGGACCCATAATTCCGCACATGTCTGAAAAGATGTGACCCATAATTCTGCAAACATGATGAAAACTATACCCATAATTCCGCAAAGAAAATAACATTTTTAAATCCCTATAAAAACAACAAAAAATTTGTGCATGTCCTTTGCCCAAAAATCTCAATATTACATATATTTCATACTTTCATTTCTAACTTGACATTCATTTTGCTAATGTTAAATCTCCCTCCTAACAATTTTGCAACATTTTCTCAAAATGGTACCCATAATTCTGCATGTTTTTTCAAATGGTAGCCATAGTTTCGCATGAATTTCAAAAACTGATAGTGTTAATTCCGCACTTTTCAGAAAAAAGGTACCCCTAAATAATGCCACGCCCCCCGAGTAGCCCACATATGACGTCATATTCACGTCTTCGAATACATTGATCATGCTTGCACTCAAGCAAAAAGAGTTCGTATTGCCTTTAAGGATTTCTCTAGTTTTGACCCATTGTTTAAAATCAATTTTCACTTTCTAGCACAACACGGGTGTTCCATGGTTGAAAATAATCACGTCCATTCCTGTATGGGCAACAATCGTCGCCAACTTCACAGCAGATTGGGGTCTATACACGATTCTTATCTGCATTCCAAGATTTTTTCAGAAAGTCCTTGGATTTGATATTGCAACGGTAAGTTTGCGCTTAGTTGCATTTTACATGTAATTCTTTTAAGCAGTGTTTCCGAAGTAAGATTGAACCCTTTATCATTGAACCCATTCTGCCATCGCTGATGATTCCTGTTTTAATGAAGTCTCAACTAGAGAAAGTCCTTGAAACTTGAATATGACGCTGCAACTCTGCTGTTGGATGAACTAAATAAAAAATGTGTTAATAATCTTTGGTTCATTTCTACATTGAAACTGACGGGCGAAATTGCTCTATATTACAAAGCTTTCAAAAAGTGTTCTATTTCAGTTAGAGTATGTCAATTTAACTGCCTTTCTATTTTTCCAGTCAATTTTGTCATTGTTTTTTGCCAATATTTTTTGTGTGAATTCGACCTTTCAATTTTGCCAGTCAATTTTGCCAGTCAATTTTGCCTTTCAATTTTGCCAGTCAATTTTGCCAGGGTTATTGCCAGTAAAAATTGGCAGTCGATTCTCCCATACAATTTTGTCAGTCAGTTTTGTCAGTCAATTTTGCCCCTCTATTTTGCCAGCTAAATTTTGCCAATTTATCCTGCTAGTCGATTTTTCCAGTCAATTCGCCCCGTCAACTTTGCCAACCAATGTTGCAAACCAATTTTGCCTGTCATTTTCAATGTAAGAAAGATATAATGATTATATTTAATTTCCAAAAAATCAAAACCTTACAGCGCTGTTCCAGTTGATCGCATAATTTCAACATTACAAATTCAGTGATAAATGATGTCGAACGCAATCTCTTATATAGCAACAAGTCTTGGGGCGATTATCACAGTTAAACGAAAACAAAACAAAAACATTTACGATGATGATGTTCATTTTTGAGACTTTTTTTAACTCAACGAAAGCTTGACTTGAATACTCAACTCAAAAATTGACAAATCGGATTGATCATGACCATAAATTTCTGTTCTAGACAATTCAAGCTACTCAGGCACTTCCATTTTTGCAATTATAAATTACTAAGCAATTGAGGATTCTTTATGTCGTTACTTTTTCTTAGACTGGGTTCCTGGTCTCTTTGCCGTATGTTATCAAAGCCATCGTCGGTCCATCCGGTGGTGTTCTAGCTGACATGCTTATTACATACAAATTCTCTGTAAGAAATGTCAGAAGACTCATTTTCTCCTTCGGTAAGTGAATTTATCAAGCAATATGCCCCTTCTCAGGCCACAGAACGATGACTACTTTTAGGTCTGAGGCATGTAAAGTATTATTCAAAAGCTGGATCCAAAATATTTCCGCTATCATGTCTTATTGCTCTAATTCTGGTCTTGATCTGCACTTTCTCTTCTAAATTTATTCCTTTACAGAAATAATTGTGCAGCAGTTATAAGATAAGTTCAATCTGCTTTTAAGATTATCATTGAAGAAAGATTTTCAATATTGGTAGAAGAAATCTACAACGTTGAACTATAAAGTCTGTCACCCTTTTCTTTCTGAAGATGCTTTCCAACCTGCTGCTTGATTCTAGGCTTATGGGACATAACGTGTTGTCTTCTAAAGTAGATAATTGTAGGTGTTGATGAGAAACTTTAACTTCTGTAGTTCTTCTGACTTTTTACCTCTTCTACTGGCTTTTGACTCAAACAAATAAGGAAAATCATTTTTTTATGTCTTACTATGGTATTCCCTCAAAGGTAATCGACAGGAATCTATCAATCATTATTAGCCAATCCAGAACCGCGTTAGTCGTAAAAGGTTCACTGATTGGCTAACTGTTGGCTGTCTAATTGTTTAAGCCATTTTAGAATCTGTCGATTGCGTTTAAGGGTGCACGACCGCAAGTGTTTTCATCGTTGCTGTTGGATATGCGAAAAACAAAGGAGTCGCTATTGGGTTGCTTTGCATGGGTGTTGGTGTTACTGGCCTCAACGCGACAGGCTACGCTGTAAACATTTTGGATATTGCACCGAAGTACGCAGGTGTAATTATCGGAATAAGCAATGTGTTTGGATCAATGCCTGGCTTTATCAGTCCGCAAATTGTCGGATACATAACAACGAAAAATGTAAGTTAAAATCTTTTTGCTCCCTAACTAGTGCCGTGAATAGGGACTAGTTGCCAAGGTTGAAGAAGTTGTTATTTACAGTCGAACCTCTAATAGCGACCACTTTGAGATCCAAGGCCTAGTGGCTGTTAATGGGAGGTGGCCGTAATTCGGTGGTTTACTAAAAACATTCACAAGCGTTTTGGACTGAAGGTCTGTGGCCGCTATTAGGAGGTGGCCGCTAATCAGAGGTGGTCACTGTTAGAGGTTCGACTGTATTAGTAAACAAATGATTACTAAATAAAATGACAAAATAATTACTAACATGATTTGCAAAAAAAAACATTTTTGTGGTACAGAATTTAAAAATGGCTTTGAAAAAACAAACATTTTGAATCATGTTACTATGTTTGCTCGTCTCCCCACCACAAGAGATGAAACTCTCCTTCTCCGGGAAACTCTTTCTACGGCCTTCTAACCCTAATTGCTAACGATGTGATTTTTTAGACGGCAGCAGAATGGCAAGTGGTGTTTTGGCTCACAGCGGTGATCTATGGTATTGGCGTTGTCTTCTTCTTCTTTGCTGTCTCTGGCGACAAACAGCCGTGGGCAGATGGTACTGAAGCAGTGCATAAGGAGGATATCCCTTATTCGAAAGACGGGAAAAATGAAGAGGAAAAGAAGCCATTGATGGACGATGATCGGCAATCTGATGATCGAGATGGTGGCGAAGATGGAGGACAAACGGCGACGGCAGCAGAAGGTCAACCAGAAGAGAAGAAATGACTCAACAAAAAGAATAGAGTCAGTGCTTGTGCACTTAGGTCTGGAATGTATTGAAATACGTTCACTATAGAGTGCTAGGTATTAAGGATGATCACTGTCGAGATCAAACCCATTCTTGAGGGCCTCTTATGCTCTGATAATGCACCCTACACATTGCAGAAATTGTTTACATATAGCAGAGTGAACAACTGACCCTAAGAACTCCGAAATTTTCTTTCAGCACATTGCAAAAATGTGACTTTCAATAGAAGCAGGGGTTGGTTCATTTTACGAATTGTGAGATCGTAGAAAAATCATTCACAGAATAGGGCCTTTTTTCTACCTAAATAAAATACACTGTGTTTAATCAAATAGTTCTGTTGCATACAGAATTTTTCCAAATACAGAAGCCTTCAACGTTTGACCCATGAGATTTGTGTGGAACACGTGGTCTTATTCTTTTACATTCTAATGAGAAGAACGCCATATATTTAAGATCTTCCCCTTGACCACTTGAACTTTTCTCTGTGAAGGTCATTTCATTTTTCCAGTTGACCTTTCCGCTTGACCTTTCCAGTTGACCTTTCCACTTGATCTTCCCTTCCTTTCCATTTATAATGCAATGTGAAGTTACGCAGAGCCCTAAGCTGAAAGGCAATGAAAAATTCAGGAGATGATCGATATATTGTTTGGAAGAATATAACTTAGTATTAATAAATCATGCCCCTTCAAATGGACTAACACCAGACTGATTTTTGTTGCTTTTAGTGTAGATTTAAATGAATGTAAAGTAGTTGTACTAGTCTTAAAATAGCTCTTTGAACGTACAAAGAAACAAAAAGAAATATTCTTGAAAACTTGGTTTGATGAATCATGAATTGTTGAGCAACTGCGAAAATAACCTCAAAAGAATAATAGCTGTTTGAAAAAACAAGCCTAAAATGGAGCAACTGTATTTTCTAAGAAAATTTCTTTTGCTTCAAAGCAATTCAAAATTTTTGGCACTTTTTGTAAGCCAATAATTTCTAAGCCTTGCTTTTATATTGAGAAATAACCTTTCTAAAAACTGTTATTTTTTGCCAAAACGACGTTTTCCACAAAAATTAGTTACATTCTGTTTTTCTAAACATAGAGGAGCTATTCAACCAGTTAATAGACGATAGAAAAATCAAAAAATTTCAGCAATTTTTGTAAGACTATAGCCTTGCTTTTTCGTCGAATATCTACCTTTCTTCGCAGAAAACGGCGTTTTTCCAAAATGCAAGCTAAATTATGGTGTTTTCTAATCACAAAGGAGCTATTAAACCAGTTCACAGCAGAAAAAAAATCCAGAAAATTTAGCCAATTTTTCTAAGCCTATAGCCTTACTTTTTCATCGAAAATTGACCTCTTTAAAAAACATTTACTCTTCGCAAAAAACGGCGTTTTTCCCAAAAGCAAGTTGAATTATGGCGTTTTCTAATCACAAAGGAGCTATTAAGCCAGTTCGTAGAAGAAAAAAATCCAGAAAATTAAGCCAATTTTTCTAAGCCTATAGCCTTACTTTTTCATCGAAAATTGACCTCTTTAAAAAACATTTACTCTTCGCAAAAAACGGCGTTTTTCCCAAAAGCAAGTTGAATTATGGTGTTTTCTAATCACAAAGGAGCTATTAAGCCGGTTCATAGCAGAAAAAAAATCCAAAAAATTTAGACAATTTTACTAAGCCTATAGCCTTGCTTTTTCATCGAAAATTGACCTCCTTAAAAAGCATTCACTCTTCGGAAAAAAGGCGTTTTTTAAAAGCAAGTTGAATTATGGTGTTTTCTAATCACAAAGGAGCTATTAAGCCAGTTCGTAGAAGAAAAAAATCCAGAAAATTTAGCCAATTTTTCCAAGTCTATAGCCTTACTTTTTCATCGAAAATTGACCTCCTTAAAAAACATTTACTCTTCGCAAAAAACGGCGTTTTTCCCAAAAGCAAGTTGAATTATGGTGTTTTCTAATCAGAAAGGAGCTATTAAGCCAGTTCATAGAAGAAAAAAAATCCAGAAAATTTAGCCAATTTTTCTAAGCCTATAGCCTAACTTTTTCATCGAAAATTGACCTCTTTAAAAAACATTTACTCTTCGCAAAAAACGGCGTTTTTTCCAAAAGCAAGTTGAATTATGGTGTTTTCTAATGACAAAGGAGCTATTAAGCCAGTTCATAGAAGAAAAAAAATCCAGAAAATTTAGTCAATTTTTCTAAGCCTATAGCCTTGCTTTTTCATCGAAAATTGACCTCCTTAAAAAACATTTACTCTTCGCAAAAATTTCGATGAAAGAACCAAGGCTATAGGCTTCTATAGTAAAAATTGTCTAAATTTTTATTGATTTTTTTTCTTCTATGAAGCTAGGCGCTTTTAATAAGCTTCTTTGTGATTTAGAAAACACCATAATATCAACTTGCTTTTTGGGAAAAACGCCGTTTTTTGCGAAGAGTAATGATATTTTTAGGAGGTCAATTTATTCGATGAAAAAGCAAAGGCTATAGGCTTAGAAAAATTGGCTAATTTTCTGGATTTTTTTCTTCTAATGAGACTTTGGTCTTAATAGACTCCTTTGTCATTAGAAAAACACCATAGATTCAACATTGCTTTTTGGGAAATAACGCCGTTATTTGGCGAAGAGTAAATGTTTTTTTAAGGAGGTCAAATTTTCAGAATGAAAAAGACAAGGCTATAGCTTATTGAAAATTTTTATTTTTGTTACTCAAATTTATCTGAGATTTTTCTTCTTCTATGACTGGCTATATAATAGCTCCTTTGTCATTAGAAAACACAACATAATTCAACTGCTTTTTGGAACAACGCTGTTTTTATGCAAAGAAGTAAATGTTTTTTAAGATAGGTAAATTTTCGAGGGGTGAAAAAGCAAAGGCTATAGGTTAGAAAAAATTGGCTAAATTTTTTGGATTTGGTATTTTCATGAAGTGGCTTAATAGCTCCTTTGTGATTAGAAAAACACCATAAATTTCAAACTTGCTTTGGGAAAAACGCCGTTATATAATCTTGTTACGGGAAGAGGAAATGTTTATTTAAAGGAGGTCCAATTTTCGATGAAAAAGCAAGGCTATAGGCCTTAGTAAAATTGTTATATTCTTCTGGATTTTTTTTTCTTCTACGAACTGGCTTAATATCTCATTTGTGATTAGAAAACACCATCACTTTTTCTAACTTGCTTTTAGAGAAGGAAACGCCGTTTGTCGTAATGTATTGTAATGTTTTTTAAGGAGGTAAATCTTTCGATAGAAAAAGCAAGGCTATAGCTTAGTAAATTGTTTCTAAATTTTTTTTATGAATTTTTTTTTCTTCTATGAACTGGCTTAATAGCTCCTTTGTGATTAGAAAAACACCAATAATTCAACTTTGCTTTTGGGGAAAACGGACGTTTTTTTGCGGGAGGAGAGTAAATGTTTTTTAAGAGGTCATTTTTGAATGAAAAAGCAAGGCTTAATAGGCTTAGAAAAATTGGCTAAATTTTTTGGATTTTTTTTCTCTATGATGGCTTAATAGCTGCTTTGTCATTAGAAAAACACATAAGTATAATTATTCTTAGCTTTTTGGGAAAAAAACGCCGTTTTTTTGCAGAAAGAGCTCAAATGTTTTCTAAAAGGAGGTCAAGGTTTCAGATTGAAAAAAGCAGGGAGCTTATAGCTTAGTTAAAAATTTTTGTTTCTACAATTTTTGCTTTGGATTTTTTTCTTCTATGAAACTCGCGACTTATTTACTAGCTGCTTCTTTGTTTGAAATTAGAAAAAACTTTATAAATTCAACTTGCTTTTGGGAAAAACCGCCGTTTTTTGGCGAAGAGTTAAGATAGGTTTTTAAAAGAGGGTCAATTTTCGATTGAAGAGAGCAAGGACTATAGCTTAGTAAAATTGTTCTAAATTTTTCTGGTTTTTTTCTTCTATGAATCTGGCTTAATAGCTCCTTATGTGATTAGAAAACACCATAATTCAACTTGCTTTTAGGACGAAACGGGGCGTTTTTTGCGAAGGTAAATGTTTTCTTTTTAAGGAGGTCAGTTGTGCTTACGATATGAAAGACAAGGCTATAGGCTTAGAAAAACGGGTGAGACTAAATTCTGTACTGGATTTTTTTTCATCTAATGAACATGGCTTTTAATAGCTCCTTTTGTCATTAGAAAACACTTCAATAATTCAACTTGGTTTTTGGAAAAACGCCGTTTTTTTGCGAATTT